GCCTAAATATGAACATAACAGCGCGAATATTTTCCAACGATTAAGGGCATCATTTTGACCGAGATCCGCAAAGAAGCCAGCTTTGAAATTTGCAACCATCTCATCAAAAAGCGACACTTAAATAGATGAAGAAATGAGCAAAACACAAACGCACATGAGTTCTTCTGAATGTCATGACAATAATTCCAGCTGGTTGCCATTTCTCCAAGAATTTCTGTAACAGAAATATTTCGATTTTGTTTGTTAGACTTCATCAGCGTGCGGCGACGACGGGGTCCGTGTGCATCCGTCTCCGCTTTTAAGCGACCAGTGACATGCTGCTCCACGTCGTCAGTTTCAGTCGATCCTTATCTGAAGTGCCGGAGTCCTGGAAGCATGCCATAGTCTTCCCTATCTTCAAAGCCGGTGATTCTACGAGTCCTTCTAAGCTCCGCCCCGTCTCCACTCTCCTTGACATGGCGTAAAGCATGGAGCGTGCAGTCCATCATCAGTTTAATGGCCACCTCTCCAGGAGTCACCTCCCTTCTCCAACCCAGCACGGTTTCAGGCCACGCCACTCCACGCGAACTACGCTGGCTTGTGTATCTGCGAAACACTTCTGCAGTTCTATCGCCATGCGGCCTCGGCTTGCTGCAACCCAGCAGGTTAAGCTACGGGTCGTGCGACGCCGGCCCGCCAATCAGCGCGTCGACCCGTACGTGAATGACCTCGCCCACCGCGCTTCACCCGGGGATCCGACCCCCTTATCCTCTTTTCTTGCTTTATCCTGAATCCTCGCGATGCCCTGCTTATTCGGGGCAGGCTGCATGTCCCAGCAGGGGGGTCAGAGATGCCCCTGGGGAGGAGGACCCCGACCGGGCGCCCAGCGCACGCTCCGAGAGTCCCTGCTCGGGCTTAAGCTCGGCGGTTGGCTCCCCAGGCGCATATGGTCCAGTTCCACCGTTATCCACTCCCCTCTCATCTCACAGCCATGAAATAGTTGTTTCTGGTCGAAAGGCCTTTAATCCAAAGAACAGCAAAAATTGCCCGGGGGCGCTGACTGCCCGCCGGGTGAAGCGGTGGGGTGGCTTGCGGGGCCTGCTGTTGTTACTCAAGACGTGGATAAAATAGATCGAAGTGACCGTTGTGATGCAAAGCTGGCTGGAGCAGAACAGTGAGCGGAAGCGAACATCAACTGTTTGGGCTCGTCATGTGGCGATCCACTTGTGACGTCATCTTAGAGTTCTGCACATTCAGCGTTTTGTCAGCTGCTCCATCAACGAAGCGGCTAAAACGGTGAGTCGTCTTCGTCAGCTGCGGAGACCGTCACCAGACTGTGCAGATGATGCGAGACGTCAAGCCCCGCTTCTTCATTTATCGAAGATGGACCTCCATCTGACGCTCGCGGCAGTGCGTCTAAGATGGAATGCTCTCGATCTTGCTTCTGGACGATTGTCTCGTAACCGCTGGAGGCGAGGGTTTTCGATTTTGCTCATTGACTTCGCCTTCAGGATCGGAATCAATGGCCGACGGTCGGTGGCGACGTTTAAGTTGGGAAGTCCCTCCAGGTGGAGATGACACCTGATGACCGTCCAAGTGATGGCCAACAGTTCCAGCTCGCAGACGGCGTATCTGAATCGCGTTCCTCCCTAGTGATGACACTGCGATTGCCTGGCTGTCAGCGACTACAGAGTCGTGTCGATGCTCTGCTTACGTGATTTAAGCGAATGCTTCAACCTGATAGGCCACTCAAAAATGGTGACAACTCATCCTGCACGACATCCACGCTTACCACTCACCCCATTTACCCTCCCCCGAAAAGTGCGGGGCGTTGCGGGAGGATGCTACGGCCCAGACTTGTGCTTGACGCCAGTGGGATCGTAGCCAGTCCCATAATTGCTTCCGTTTTGACTGCAATTGAAATCGGATTCGGCCTCCATTGGCCGCTCTGCTGAATCGTACCAAGATTTGTTACGCATGGCTCGTGACAGGGTTACAATTGACCCGATTCCGCTAAAGGATATACGCGACTCCATCTTTAAGCGGTCGCTTTAAATTAGTTCGGATCCGGCTACAACCGTTTTAGTTCGGATTCCAAATAGGCTTTCATTCAATTGAAATGAAATGCAAGTCTGCTACGACCTTGACAGCATGTCGCGAGTCCCCGGTTCATTCCCTCCCCTCCCGAATCCTCTAGTCTTAGAAGAGGTTCCGACCACCCGACGCTCGGCGACCGCCCGGCGCATGACGCTAAACTTTCGTTTTGACAACCTACTGACTCGCACTGGCTAAATGAATCTGGTCTGTTTCTACATGCATCTTTCCTTCGTTTGAGTATAAACGTGTATTATACCGTGAGAGAGCGCTAATCCCTTGTCTGCCTTCATTACGGGGAGGTTAAATTTGCGTCTTGGGTTATGGGACCAAGGACGTAATACGGTCAACAGTCAGTAGGTCAGCATTCATCGCGATAAAGCATGCAGTCCGTTGTCTGTTTAAACTCTTTTCAACGTGCTTCATTCATACCCTAGGTTTCGAAATTAGTCCGCGTTCCGAAATAGTTGTGAATTTGTGAGTCCATGTTCCTTCCGTCCATTCAGATGCATCAGTTGGCTGCAGGTGCTGGATACTGCGCCGCGACGAACCGGCCCGCCCGATGGCTGTTCGCCCTGGCCGGTTATCGACCGTGCCCTCGTCCGGCGTGCGCTAACTGGTGTACACCGGCCCGGCCCAGTCTGGCCCTTGCTCGGATTGGTCCTCACGCGTGCTGACGTCACGGCGCCGGTGTATCCGGCCAAATCCGGTACGAGAGGGCGCCCGGCTGTCTGTCCGTGGTGAACGATGGCCGAGTCCGAGGCTGACGTTGCATGAGGCCACCGAGCACCGATGGCTACGCCGCAGCCGCGGCTCATCGGTGGGGCGTAGCTGTAGGTTGGCGGTGGCCGTTACCGTCGCTACTCGGCCGATATTCTGGACAAAAGTCTGGTTGCTGGTCCAACAAATTACGTTTCTTAGCTCCAGCTTTCAGTACATAATTGCATTCAGAAATAGAAGTATTGGCCACAGTTGCAGCTTCTCTGCAAGGTTTTTTTGCTGGGAAGGAAGGGAGGAGGCGGGGGGGGGGGGGGAGGGGTCCTCAAAAGTCACCACTGACTACCAAACGGACAAACCCTCTCGAGTATATAAGTTTCCAGCGAACCGCCCCCGGTAAAACAATGCATTGCCGACAGCTCACTCCCGACCAGGTCCATGAAAACGCGTCGGCAAGAAGTGTGGAAAACACATGCCTGCGGTGGGACAACTGTGAAAAGAAAACAAGATGATGCCGTGATAACATGATGAGCCCACCGATGATAGCATGATGAAACTTTCCACCATATTCTGATGCCCCCAGTTCTGCTAAACGAATAATGAACGGCTCATGAAAATCGACTGCACCTTCTCGCTCTGTGGCAGTGACGCAGCCGAGGAGGGTTTTTTTAGGGACAATTCGGCAGTTATGTCCATAAGTCCTCTAAAACAGGAAAATAGGTCCCTGTTCAGCAAATGTTCGCCTGGCCGACTCGAGACCCCTTGTCGGCACATGACCTCCTGTTGAGCAATGTGAACCCCTGACCGACCCAGGGCCGCTCATTTTTTAAGGGGTGTCCCTGGTTCATCCCTCATCCCTGCTTGGGAAATGACCTCCAGTACTCAGATCGACACGGCACCAACTGTAGGGTGTTGGTGATCTCCGGCCGAAATAAGGACCCACATTGTGCCAGGGGTAGCCAAATGGTTTGAGAGGCACTGTAACCCTCACTGGAGGTCACAGAGTCACGGTCGATTTCTTAATGTGGCCTGCAGACAGCATTTCGGGCTCTTCGACCACCCAGGCAGACTCATGGCCTTTGGTTCCAAGTGGTCTTTTGGCCCCCTTCTCGCCTCTTCGAACACGGCCCCTGGACAACTGGGGGCTTTTGCGGTCACAGTGTCCCCTGTTAAGCACTGTGGGCCCTGGCTGACATATAGGCTTCTCGTTGTTTCAGGCAAATCGGGAGTCTAGCCCTGGCCCTGCTTGCTCCTGGAATATGAGTCGTCAGGGCTCAGACCAACATGGAGCCAACTGTTCGGCGCTGGTGACCTCTATCACAGTCCGCAATGTCTCGGGGCTTGCAGTCGCTACAAGAGGCCCTCTGGCTGTCATTCTTCGCGCCCTTCAGCACTCCAATCCCTTCATTGAATTAAAGGCCCCTTCATTGTCTTATGAGCTTTAATTGTCTAAGGGGCACTTCATTGCCTCGGAGGCCATTCATTGCCTTAGGGCCCTTCATTGCCCTGGGGGTCCTTCATTGCCTTAGGGGCCCTTCGGTGCTTCAGGGGACCTTCAATGCCTTAGGGGCGCGTCATTGCCCTAGGGGCCCTTACTGTTTTACGGCTGATTGATTAACGGGCACAGGTTAATATAACTTGCGGGCCCCGCCCTCGTCCCTGCCTGAGAAATGAGCCTTCAGGCCCAGACTACCACGGAGCTGACTGTTCCGTATTTGTTAAGGTTAAGGTTTTGTCCCGTATTTGTTAAGGCATCTGTAAGGACGTTTCCTTCCATTTGCAAGGTCCTTTCATTCCATTCAGACCGGCGATCACCGGTTATTCCCGGTTTTACTGGCCCGTTACACCGTCGCGCCCGGCAGCGTCCTATATTTCTCTTACGTCAGCTGTGCGGAAATCAAGGTCGTGAGAGCTCAGCTGATTTTTACTGACACTAGTTGGCAGTGAGAGCAGGCAATCAAGGGCTCTGCACCTAGCGTATATTTAGGAAACTCACAATTTACAATAAAAATTGACCTTAAAAAATATTTTTTGGATTTAAAACATTTAATTTATTTATAAAATAATTTTTTTGGAAAGAAATATTCAAAAAATTACCTCAAATGACCGTAAATTTAGTTTTAATATGGATATCGTTAGCATATTTTAGGATCACCGATATCCGACCGTGCTAGCTAACGTCTGCGCACGCACAGCACGGTGGTCCGAAGCTGTGGGGGCGGGCAGTGCTCAGCGTCGCGTTGCGTGGGGGGGCGCGTTCGCCGCGGGTTGTGTATAGTTCTCATCCGCTGATAAAACTGGCGGCGGCGAGTTCTCTCATTGGTATATTGGTTAGCCAGGACTGGAAATCGTGAGACTGAGCGGTGTCCAGTTTGTGTGGATCATCATTCTCATCATTTACCTGTAAAAGTTGACGTCAAGATGAGGGTCACAAGGTGTCTGAGGAACGTGAAGCAGATGTTAGAGTACTACTCAGGGTTTAACCCATCACCGTTATCCATCAAGCAATTTATTGACTTCGGTAAGAATTCTCAGCTGTCCGTGCAGAGATAAGCTACTGTCCTCTGGGCTCAGACTTCTAGTATGGTCAAAGCACATGTTTGCTGACGAGTCAATCAAATTTTGTATGCTGTAAAGATGATTTTTGTGCACTATGCATGTTTAAAGCAAGGTGTTCTCCTTTGTCTTCACCTGTAAAACGCATGGTGTTTCTGCACTTAGCATACATTCTCAGCACCTGTTTTGGAAGTATCTATGGAATGTTTTAAATCAAATATGGTGTGATGGTAAGTCCTGCTTTGATCACTTTTCCTGCAGGAAAAACAGCCACAGAACAGCAGAGTTTTATGTTTCTGCGGCAAGAAGTTCCTGTGCGCCTGGCCAACATCATGCGTGAGATCCAGCTACTGCCAGAAAGTCTTCTGTTACAACCTTCTTGCCGCATGGTTTGCGACTGGTACATGCAGAGCTTTGATGAAATTCTGGTGTTTGAGAAGATGGATCCACCTAATTCCACAGTACTTGATGAGTAAGTGTCTTTCATATGCAGGGATGTACATTAATCATGGTTTATCATTGTAATAATCTTGGCATAGTGACACATGCACAATGATGGCAAACCTAGGAAATTTAATGGAGCCAAGACCTGTTTCATTCCACTTAACTCTTGTCCTAAGATGTCATCCAACTTCCTTTGCATGTGCCCACCTATGTATCTTAAAAGACCATTTCAAATATGTTGCATGAATGTCCTTAGAATCAGAGCACATGCCAAGCAGAGCCTGTCGCTTGTACCCTGGCCCATCTCTCACTTTTGCCACCACTCTAGTCCAACAGATAATTTCAAATTGTGAAGTTGATGCAGCTATGTAGTCTTCATCAAAACATGGCCTTTGCAATATCAGTCATAACAGTCAGTCATCATGCACCACAACCTGTAATTTGGATGTAAGACCAGCTGTTAAAGAAAATGTTTCACATTTAAAAGTATTGAAGCGAGCATGAAATGTTATTAAACAAGCTCACTTATAACTATTGGTATGCATTTAAGGTGGAAAAGACTGACATAGACAACACAATTATCTGTTTAAAAAATGTGCTCCTCAATGTGTCATGGTTTGATTGCATCATTGTCCTTTGCACAACATTGGTTGAGAGCCAGTGGATGGCAGTGATATCTCAAAATCATGTTCACAAATCAGATGAAGACTGATGATCCCTCAACAATGATATTTTTCTCCTGGTCCTGATTGCTGTGTGGCTTATGGAATGACAAGATTTGAATGACATTATCATGAGGTCATGAATGCAAAGGTGACTTTGAAATACTCTCCTGGCTATACCTTTTCCATTTTCATGGGTGTGCTGCCCAGAAACTAGAGGGGCTTAGGTCTTAAGAAGGGCAGGATTGTGAACAGCATCAAAAGATTTTAAGATGGCCATTTCAGTTCAAAACCTGATATGAATGTTGAATGCTTCCTTTGGGTAGGTAAATAAATTGTATTTGCATCAGAGCACCTTAAAAAAACTTAGATATGTACTTAAGCATCACAATGGCCACACAGTCAACCATTTGTTAAGTGTCTTCCTGACTGAGGATGTGTGTGTCATTGGGGCTTTACAACACACACAGCTGCTGAAGCTACATGATGTCAGCTGCTGCTTACGCTGCTAGGAAGGGCAACGGCACTGGGATTCAAATCTGAAACCTCTGGTTTATTTTACTTGCAGCACAGGCATTACTCTGTTGGCATCCATGCAGTGTGAAAATTATTGGCTATGGCAATGTGTCTGAATTAATGTTCAATTAATTATGAAAACAGGTACCTGAGCAGGAGTTCCCAAATCAGTTTGTACAGTGGCAAGAACAAATTCCTTTGTGCTCTCACTAAAAATTTAAATTTCTCGGAACAGCTCGTTAGCAAAGGCTGTTATCAACATTGTATTGGCTCAGCTTGCTTTGCTGCTTGGTGGCAGATTAATTTGGCTGCTCCTTGCTGTAGCTTAGTTAGTGAAAGTAAAACATGTTAATACTCTGGATGCTTTTGACAGCTTCTGTGACACCCTGGTCAAGATCCGGAACCGCCACAGCAGTGTCGTGCAAACAATGGCAGAGGGCGTGATCGAAATGAAGCAGAGCGTCAAAGTTGACACATCCACTGAAAACAACATCCAATACTTCCTGGACAGGTTCTACATGAGCCGCATCAGCATTCGGATGCTGATCAACCAGCACAGTGAGTGGGCATTGGTCTCTGAGTGTTGTTCTGCACTTGCCTTCAGTTTGAGGTTGATGCTGACCTTCGCACCCATGCTGTTGGAAAAGTGTATTCAGGAAAAGGCCATGGCACAGTTTGAATCCTCCACAGCACTGGGAACACGTTTTTTACACGCATTTTGTTTGGTCCGTAGGTGATGAAGATCCATGACATCAAATACGTGCCATAAGAATAAGTCTGTGTTTGTCATGCCTCCTTTTTTGGCCCAACCATCCTGCAGATAAATCAAGCTATAGTTTGATTTACACAGCACATGTCAGAAAGCGACAGACACCTGTCACTGGCGCACAGTTGCCAAGTGCCACGGCAGTTTACATTATGTTCTGAGATGTGTCGTTCCGCTGCGACGTCCGTGTGCACGGCTTGTGTCTGTTTCCAGCGCTGCTGTTCGAAAAACAAGCCAGTAAGAAAAACCAAGAGCAGGTCGGCTGCATCGACCCGTACTGCGAGGTAGTGACGGTGATCGAGGACGCGGCGGCCAACGCACGCTTCCTCTGCGACCGCTACTACCTGGCCTCGCCCGAGATCAAGATCTCCGAGGCGAACGGTGAGTGGCCGCGCTCGCCGCCCCACACTGCGGCTCGGGCGACAGAGGTGAGCCGGGGGCGGTTCGTGGCCGTGGCCGCCGATCGCGTGCTCTGCCCCCCCCCCCCCCCCCTCCCGCTCGCGGGGAGCGCCGAAGTCGCCTCTCGCCCCCGTGGACAGGAGAGCGCCGTGTCGCCAGTGTCTCCGGCGCGCCGGCCGCGAGCCCTTCTTTGGGGTGTGGTAGGGGTGACAGCGGTGCAGGGGTCTCGCTGTCTGAGCGACGGACCGGAGATAGGTAAGCAGCAAGCGGAGCTCCACGCGTGTTGCGCCTCCGCTCTGAGCCGCGGACCGGAAGTAAGTAAGCGGCAGGCGGGGCTCCGCGCGTGTTCCGCTTCCGCTCTGAACCGCGGACCGGAAGTAAATAAGCGGCAGGCGGAGCTATACGCATGTTGCGCCTCCGCTGTGAGCCGCGGACCGGAAGTAAGTAAGCGGCAGACGGAGCTCCACGAGTTCCGCTTCCGCTCTGAACCGCGGACTGGAAGTAAGTAAGCGGCAGGCGGAGCTCCACGCGTGTTGCGCCTCCGGGGCGTGGACAGTCCTCCACAGTGCATCAGTCATCCCGTGGTCTGACTTAAGAGACGGACACTGGCCTTGGAACAAAATGTGAGATGTCGCTGGTGGGTACCATCTGCGCCTCGTAGATCTTACTTCATGTCCGTGCATGTTCTTCGGCCTGTGTTGTATTGTTCGTGGTGATTTTGCTTGCATTATTACTCTCCCACATTTAGCGAGCATGAACTCATAAGCAAACAGTGCATGTACTCGTGCTGGAATGGCACTATACGATTATGCTGCTAAAATGAACGTACTTAAAAAGAAGTCATCCAATAAAATCAATGTTTTTGTTACTGTATCCATGGAAAATGGGTAGGCTGGTTTGCATCGAACTAGACGGTTTATTCGTGCCGAATCGATCTCATTATCTCTATTTGCTTAACCTCAGTAGCCTGGTTTCGAGCAAAGATCTCCTTTTTCGCGTGTTTTGACTTGGCTAAGCTGAACTTCACATTTGTTAACCCATTCTGCGTCACTGCCATGGGATGAACATGGTTGAAAATTGTGGATACCACCTCGACATGAAATATGTTTCTCTGGGAGACCCGAGCGATCAACTCACCAGTCTCATTTAGCTCCGGATGGATAATCGTCATTTTCACAGCTTTGCACGTTCCACCGAGACAAACGGCTGTTCAAGGAGTCGAAGAAAGCGGGAGATCTGTTATAGGCGGGGCCACTGGGAGACCCTGGGAGGCAAGGTGTGACCTGACCAGAGCATGCTGACGAAAATTAATTTTCTGGCTAAGTCGAGAGCACTGCCCCTTAAATTGTACGTGGTCAGTAATAATTCAAGATTTGGCTAAATGCACTTCTCTAATTGCAGTATTATGCCATTTTTCCTGGGCTGATTTTTCTTCATAACAGGACGTTAACAAAATGTAATTGTTTCTTATACGCATGAGCACTGAGCGAGAGCTCACTGGTCATCTGCTTTTGGTCTCGTGGAAGTCAGCATGCAAATTGATTGGGTTTTCATTTTTTACCTTTGCACACCTGCAATCTTCAACATATTTGTTATTGATGTACTTATCCACATTTTTATACCACATATCACATATTTATAGCGTTACAGCATTGATTGGCTTAGCTTGACGTCATGTGCTTCAAAACCGTTCTGGTTCAACCAAAAGCTGGATGTGGTCTCGAACATCTCTGAGCAGCAGCGGTGCGATCGCTCTGTCCGGTACTAGCAGAAAGTTTTTAACTGGTCATCGCTAACTGGTATAGTGAGGACTTTTCAGCATTTGCTGTGTGCACTTAAATGAGCTTAGGGCGTGTGCTCAGCAATGCGGGTAGACGGACCAGTGAACCCAGATGGTTCGGAGTTCCAGAGCTTAGGGAGTGTGCTCAGCAATGTGGGTAGACGGACCGGTGAACCGAGATGGTTCGGAGTTCCAGTTGCTAGAATAACTAAATGATACCGTACAGAATGACATGCACTTAAATCGCGTCACGTGGTATACATTAGACACGAGCTTACCTTGGCTACTATACACGCTGTCGTCAGAGAGGTAGGCAGCGAAGCCAACGCCATCGGACAGGATCAGGAACCGAATTATCACATCAAGTTTCCTGGCTGGCGCTATAAACGGATTCGAAGTTCTCCACCTCTCTGTTTAGCGGAAGATGTATCAAAGTAGAGACTATTGCGCCCGTTTCACGGATATGTGTAGCTTCCACTTTCTATCCTCAGTTTCTTCGGTGGTTGTCAATCATGCAAGAATAGTGTATGTTCGGACTTGTGCCGGGTGACTGATCTGCATCACTGATTATAGTAGAAATTTTTTGCGTCCTGGTGAGAAGCAAAGACGAATTTACTGAACGGCCTTACAAAACTAGTTCGCACTGCAGGCTCCAGTGCAAAGGAGGAAACATGATTTCAGTTTGCGGCTTTCGCATGGCGGCTTTCTTGAGTCAGCTCGCATGTTCAACTGCCCATGCTACAGACTCTTGTTGTCGACAAAAGCCCGGTAGTGCGTGAAAATGGGCCGAATCATTGCCTGAGCAATGTGTTCACATCCGAATTTTGAACGCATAGTGCGTAAGAAACAACCACAAAATGGTGCCAACTAAAAAGTTCTTCGAGTGATTCAGTTGTGGCTCGCTTCAATTCGAATCGCTGAGTCACTCACTAAAAAAAAAACAACCAAAACTGTCGTGCCATTCCCTATCCCTCTAAACCCCAAAAGCACTGAAAGGCAGCACTGCGTCGCTGGGGCCCTGCTCGCCCCTGTATTCGTGCCACACTGGTGAGCGGTCCCGCGGGCCGGCGTGGCTCCCGCGCCGGCCAGTGGACCGCTCACCGTCGCTGGGGCCCTGCTCGCCCCTGCGTTAGTGTCACGCTGGTGAGCGGTCCCGCGGGCCGGCGTGGCTCCCGCGCCGGCCGGTGGACAGAGCCGTGCGCCGCTAACCCGGCGGCCCTGGTCTTCCATGGTGGCGCGCAGCGGTGGCGGCCGAGCCCAACCCCAGCGGCGCCGCGGGTGAGTGGCGGCCGCGGCAGGCCTCGGCAGGCCGGCCTACACCCCGAATGCCGCGCGCAGGCCCCCAGGCGCCGCGGCGACCGCGGTGCTGAGGCAGGAACGCCTGCCGCTTTGGATGCTGCGGTTATGTGTGTGCGCGTGTGTGTGTTTGTATGTGCTGTGGACCCTCCGGTCGCCGTCTTCTCAAAGAGAAGTTAGAACCTACTCGTTTTGGTATTCTTGCGGCATGATGATAAGGGCTTTAAACCAATTTGTTTTACTGAATTGCTGTATTCCTCAGTGACGCACAAATAACAACAGGGCACGTTTTTACTCATTTCCGTTTCACATGCTTTCATTAGTCACTTTAAAACCGCTCAAATGATGCATTCCGTGAAAACAGGCTCCTGGACGCAGTAGGCTGGGTTTCTGGCGTCAGAGCGTGGTACGATCATGGGTACCTTGGACGTGTTGCTTGTAGCTGGGGACCGCGGGCACTGCGCGACTGCAGGCTGCCCCTGCGCATCATGTGTGGCCACAATAGAGGGCCCAAGGGTGGCGCGCTTTTGTCGCTAGATTTCTCTGAGGTGGTCTGTGTGGCTACACCCGCTCGTGACGCCTTGCGTGTGGTCGTTTCCGTCGAGGTCAGTGGCGGCCTGCCCGCTGGGTCGTTCCGAGCCGCGGGGTGGGTGCGCCAGCGCTTGCTCACGCTTCGGTGCCGGCCCGTCTGCGTGCAGGCGGCGGTAAGAGCGCGCCCATCCAGCTGGTGTACGTGCCGTCCCATCTGTACCATATCTTGTTCGAGCTGCTGAAGAACGCCATGCGCGCTGTGGTGGAGCACCATCCGGACACGGGGGACTTCCCGCCCATCGAGCTGCTCGTGGCCAACGGACATGAGGACCTCACCATCAAGGTTAGTCACGTGATCAGCGGTCACGGGGTGGGCGTCTCAGCTGGCTCGGCCACTTCACGCCCGCCGGGGCTGAGTGGTGCACTCTGCACACCTCACTGGGTGCACCCTGCACTCCCAAGTAGTCACACGTCTTCTGACGCGTGGGGTTGCGAAATGACTCACCTAGTCATGGTGCTATTGGGTTAAGTCATTCATTCATTATGTAGCACTATTGGTCATTAGTCATGAGGTTCCAGTGGAGCTCATCGCAAAGCGTGCTTGAGGAAACTGCATGTGGCCGGGTTCGTTAGTCTCCGGACTGCTGGCAGCCAGCGGGCTCCCCGCGCGCAGTGCAGTAGTCTGTTCCGGACGGTCCTCATGGGCATTGTCATTCGCGCATCATACTGTCCGCGGTCTCGCCGACCGCGGCCGTCGCCAAGCAGCGGTGCTGCTGGGCTATGGACGACGCTGGCTTTTGAAATCATGCGTGAAATGAAAATTGTGTACTGACACTGTCTGTACACACTACACATGCTCATGCCTCAGTACACATGCTCAAACGCTGCCAGCCATGGGCGTATATTTCTTCTGTCTCACACCCAGTCGCTTGCCGTTGACTTTAGTTACACATCCGTTGCACTACCATCCAAGCTTTCTTCGCTTTTTGCACATCATGGATACGAAACACATCATATGCAACTCCATTAACAGTAAGTGTACGGAGTTTGGCACGTCAGTTTACTCTGCGCCCTTGAATGAAGATGATTGGGCCAGCAGTTTTTCGCTCGCGATGGTTTCCGGAAGGCCACGGCGGCGCAGTTCTGGAAACCAAGTACATCCATAATAAACACCACTTGGTGGAAGCTGTTCCTGCTGGAAGAAAGATTCCTGGACTCTGTCGTGGCGTTGTTTCCGTGTAGTTTATTCAGCAGCCACGCCATCACCATGGGCCGACCGGTAGCTGTACATAATTTATTGACCGCGTTCCACGCTCGACGACATGCCGTTTGCATGGCGATTACCGTGATAGCCGAGCCGATAAGTGGACAGCTGGCGCGCTGGTGCTGTGCTGGCGCTGCCCTCGGCGCCGCTGCTGGCGACAGCGACCGTTACACTACAAAAGCTGCCAACAGCAAACACGCCATGGCTCGACGTCGGCGCGGCGTGCCCTGCACCGTCAACACGTCTGCGGATAACACGCCCGCACGATGGGACCTCTGCATTCTGGTCTTCTGCGCTGCGTTATACTCGCACGACAACACTGCGGCGGGTGTAACTTACGCGACGTTACTCCCTGAGAGAACGCCTCCGGGACCAGAGTTTGTGCTCAGTCAAACTTTTCAGGGAAAGCTTTTACGCGATATTAGTCCTACATGGCGAGCATGCCGAGGACAAGTTGGCCATGCCATATTAGTTATGCTCACACAACTTCCAGTGAGAACAATTGCCTACAAAACCACAGACTTAAGTTTGTGCGCGACTCGAGCACTACGGATAAGAATTCTACGTGACGTCACTGCTGTGCATCAAAACTGCCACAGACAAGCCTTCCACGGCCGAAACTTGTGCCTGGTATGGCCACAAAAGTGCGTGGGAAGAAGTACAGAGGAATGCTAATCTTGCTGATCACAGAGCAAGATGAAATTTAGGCGAGACAAATGTTGCGGGCTGAGATGAATTTAGATGAATTTAGTGAGGCAGTGTGATGCGGGGATGGGACCAGGCCGCGTTGCGTTACGTAAGGTTAGACGGAGTTGGTTGACTGTCCCTCCCACGTTACGTTAGGTCAGTTGGGGTTAGTTGGCTGTCACCTCCAAGCCCTTGTCTCGTCATCGCTTGCAGTATAAAGAACTGGCCCATTCTCTTTGAACGTAAACTTACCTAAACAGGTGACCATTCCGTTGTTGAAGGAATCTGGTGCGGATTGGACAAGAGGCAATTTTTCATGGGTCACATTTGAAGTATTTCGCGCGGCAGTATGTAGGTTGCAATGATCCATGGTCTCGTTACCACTGAGGCGCTTGCCATCAGCCATCTGCTCGCGTGTTCGGCTGACTGACAGCCGGGGCAGCACCAGTACTGGCGTCGAGAGAGCAATCTTTGGATACCGGCCCGGCCCATCGGTCTATCATGACTCATATGAATGCGGCGCTTTACGTGGTATATATATATATATATATATATATATATATATATATATACATATATATGTATATAAGTTTACGTGATATGGAGAAAGTCGTTATTGGCTGTCCCATTTGACCAAGCCTTGAAACATTGTGGTTGCAGTCTACCGCGTCTGTCGCAGAATCTGCCCAGAGGCGTATACAATTATGGGGAGGAAGCGGGGAGCGAGCCAGCACACTAGCACGAACCCATGTCATAGGGAATGTGGGCCCACGCACCGGGGAAAAAAACAGGAGTGAAGAATGTCCAAAGGGTGCCCAATTTCATACCGTGTACCGCATCACACGGAATTATAACTATCATGATGCTGAGGAAAAGACAGGGGAACTTTGTACCTGTCTGCAGCTGCTGCTGTCCCCCAGAGTCTCATGAGAGCGCCCCCCCCCCCCCCCGGGCGAGTCTTTTGACCCGTCTGCAGCTGCCGCTGTCCCTCAAAGTCCATGAAAGCTCCCCTCGAGGGCGAGTCTTCTGACCCGTCTGCAGCTGCTGCCGTCCCTCAGAGGGCCCCGTGAGGGCTCCGTTCGAGGGCGAGTCTTCTGACCCGTCTGCAGCCGCTGCTGTCCCTCAGAGAGTCCCGTGAGGGCTCCCCTCCAGGGCGAGTCTTCTGACCCGTCTGCAGCTGCTGCTGTCCCTCAGAGAGTCCCGTGAGGGCTCCCCTGGAGGGCGAGTCTTCTGACCCGTCTGTAGCTGCTGCTGTCCCTCAGAGAGCCCCGTGAGGGCTCCCCTCCAGGGCGAGTCTTCTGACCCGTCTGCAGCTGCTGCTGTCCCTCAGAGAGTCCCGTGAGGGCTCCCCTCCAGGGCGAGTCTTCTGACCCGTCTGCAGCTGCTGCTGTCCCTCAGAGAGTCCCGTGAGGGCTCCCTGCGAGGGCGAGTCTTCTGACCCGTCTGTAGCAGCTGCTGTCCCTCAGAGTCCCGTGAGGGCTCCCCTGGAGGGCGAGTCTTCGGACCCGTCTGCAGTTGCTGCTGTCCCTCAGAGAGCCTCATGAGGGCTCCCTTTGAGGGCGAGTCTCCTCCGTACGGAAACAAAAGCGCATAAGCGTGTGACTTACACGATTATGAAAGCGGATGTGACGATACTAACAGTATGTTTGGTTAGGTCAGACCAGGCCAGGTCATACTAGGTCGTGACAGGTCTGCCTTGTTAAAATGATATGGGGTTAGGATGGGGCGGAAGTTTTAAGTGCAGCAGTTGTGGTTTGTCGTGTAGATGTTTTGCCCGTATCGCTTCTGTCGTGACTAAATTTTGGCCCTGCAAATTTTGCAGTGAAAGTAATGTCATGTCATAATTTAGTCCGTGACTCGTCTGATGTGTGGCTGATATTGCGGATGCATTTTTTGTCAGTCGTGCACCGTCACGTGCCTGTCCGTGACAGGTTTGCTGTGTAGGGGTGGTGCCTCGCATCAATATAGTTCTGTGGTAAACAGGGATAGATTACCTTTGTATGTAGCAATCACGTCCTCAAGTCTCATCTCGTAAGAGTTTGGGGCGCAGATATTCAGCTTGTGTATGTAGAAGCATGGTCGAGTGGAAGTTTTTCTCGTAGTAGTTTTGTGGTGCTGAAGCAGTGTCACGTGGCAGGAACGTCTGTAACAGCAATATAGAAGCTTTTTTCGAAGCCGTTTTGTCCGTGGCAGGCGCGGAATGCCCGGCGGCGGCGTCCGCGACCTTGTCGGGACACGCCTCCGCCTGGCGGCCAGGCGCTATGCTTGAGATGGATGGTTGGTGGTGGGTGATGTTTATCATTTGTACCCTTCCTGGCCATGACCTTCTGTGAGATGAGGAAACATGCCGGGTCTGCGCCATGTTAAGTGATAGGTTGTTTAGATCTCGCTGGAAATGTGGAAAGAAAGGAAGGACTCTGATGCAAGCAGTGCGCCATAAGCACCACTGCCATGTTGCCTGAATACATTCCTGTGGCATAACTCATCTATGCCGGGCTTTGTCATATCTCGAACGGTAAAATCGGCGTATGCCGGCTTGTCAGCTTATTGTCTTGGGAGAAAAGATGAATCAGTAAGCGAGAAAAGCTTTAGCTCAGAATGAGGTGGCGCAGTGAAACGCAATGCATAAAAACACATATATGTATATATATATATATATATATATATATATATATATATATATATATAGATATATATATATATATATATATATATATGTATGTATATATATATATATATGTATATATATATATATATATATATATATATATATCTATATCTATATATCTATATATCTATATATCTATATATGTGTATATCGGCATATATATATATATATATATATATATATATATATACATATGTGTGTGCGGAGGCACTGTAGGCATGAGAGTGGCTCCATGTACGCGATCACGTCCACACACTTTTCTTGTTTTGGCACCAGGGCTGCCAGACTTATGTATCTTTGACCATATGCCTTATCTTTGGCCATTCTCCAGACGTTTGGCCTAAAGATTGCCAATTCCACCTTTTAGAGATATGTAACTTATTTTTGTTTGTGTTTTTCCTTCGGGTATGCTATTCTGTGATTCTGCTATACATGTATTGTGTGATTGCTTATTGCTTTGTGATATCCATTTGAAAGTACACACGGAGCTGCAAACGTCAATAGTGACGTCGTATATTGGGTTTAATTTCTGCACTTAAAAACGATGACAGCAAAATTTCTGGAGTGCGCCACTTAATTCGTGACCGGTTGAGGGAAGATCGGATCCGACCTCCATCCTCCGTTTTGTAGCATTGATTGCAACCGTTGAATGGGGCAACCAAACTTACAGTGCCTGTAAAGTTACGAATTTGACGCGCTTAGACCGCATAACCAGCCTTGGTTCACCCAAGTCATGGAATGATGATGTGATTACGGTACTTACACGCAAATCTAATGTAAAGTTCCACGTCTTCCGAATGTGGTCTGAGGATCTCGGACGATCATCGCAGTAGAAATAAAAGTAGAATGACATACCTTCTTTAGATATTCGAATGCTTAGAAAGTTAGGCCATACTGGGCGGAACAATATACTTTATCTGGAATAGCCAGGAAAACCAAAGTCACAGATGATGTCTTTGTGCTAAGGGCACTGGTCGCATTAGAAATCGCTTGGAAAAGCTAGGTTATTTGGCTTAAAGCTGCCCTTCTTCTCACACCTGGCTGGTCTTTTTGACCTATTCTGATGGCTTGTTTGGCTCCTTACATCCACACAAATATGATAGCACTGTTGGGCACGCCTGGCAGGCTTGCGTCATACGTCATCGCATATCCCTCGTTGGCAATGTCAACAGCATTTCGTCACCCTGTTTCCGTCGCGCTACGTGAGCGGTAGTGCTGGCAGCCCTGGCGGTAAGATGGGCCGACTCGGCATCCGGCCACGACCGGCCGCCTGTCGGGCAGCCGTGCGGAGGGGTCGGCGGGCTGCTAGCCCGCTGCACCTGAATGCCGGCGGAAGCCTTCGACATGTGGGAGCCGCAATTATGCCAAGTCTCAGACTATGCAAACAGGGTGTCATTGTAGTTGACCTCTGCGGATGACACTGATGGTTTTAGGGGAACGCACCAACTAGCGCTCTAGGGACGAGATTCGCTATTTTGGGCAGTCTTCAAAGAAGTAGCATCGTCGATGCCGGCAGGGGAGTGCACAGTGCCTCGATGGGAGGGGGGAGGGGCACACGTCCACCGCCTCCATTGGCGACGCCCCCGTGCACAGGCATTTGAGAGGTTAAGACTAAGCCAGGGTTATTTCGGCTGTCAGCGGACGGCTTGGCAACACCCTGAAGTCGTGTGCTGCGGTCATCAAAAACGACCGCCGTCTGAAGGTCAGATTGGGCTGCCATCTGAAGGTCAGATTGGGCCAGCTTTGGCAGGGCATCCGCCGGCGGACGGAGCCGTTCCAGGAGCGCCCGCTGGTGTCTTCTGCTTCCGAAACGTCCTGGTATACAAACATTGTTACAACACGGGCTCCGATGCCCTGAAGTGGAAGTGGCATGAGAAACACGCTAGATACCCAAGCAGCTTTCGTTAAAGGCAAGCCAATTTCAGATATTTTAAAAATCTGCTATTGACGCCTGATTTATGGGTCCGTTACCAAGTTTCCGGACGTGATAATCGTCTTTTTGCTAAGTGAATATGGAAGATTTAAGTGGGTGATGGTACATTTTTATTCAGCTAATGACCCCAAGCTGTCAAAGTTAGTAGATCTGGAATTTTATGACCAATAGTAGATTCCAGAATTATTAAGGTGCTCCTGAGATATACTTGTTAACATGCATTTTAAGACAATGCCTTAAAAATCACATACTTTTTTAGCTTACGGGAGCATATGATGTTGCGTTCCCCGTCTCATTTTTGCCGCGTGGGGCTCGGCCCTGCCCACGGCGCGTCGATGTTTGCCTGGGACACGCTCGCCGCAAGTCAGCGCACTGTTCGCGCGCGGAGCCAGCGCCCTGGTGCCAGCGCTTGGAGGCGCAGGCAAGGCGCAGCAGTGGTCGCATCAAGGACCTGGGGTCATCGCGACGGCATGCCGATGACATCGCCCGGGGCTTATCAACGATGCCTCGATTGTTTCCTGGTCAAGGGCTGGCTGGAAGGTTTTGCGCGGTGGGCGCAGCAGAAGCAGCAGACTATTTGGGCCGTGTCTGCTTCTTTCCGCACACTTGTTGCTCCTGTGCGTAATCGTGCCCAGTGCAGCTGTAGCCGCGATGTATGTGCGCTCGGGCATATACTTTTTTTACCTACAGCTGTCAGTGGAAATGCTGCTCCGGTTTTTGCAAGTGTCTGTGTTTTATGGGTAAGGACAGGAGGCTGCGCAAACAAGTGTTTCGCCCATCTGAGAGACATCTGGCCTGCCAGGACACTTGTAGATGTTCTGGCAAGCAACGTTTCATATACTATACACACACACACACACACACACACACACACACACACACACACACACACACACACACACACACACACACACACACACACACACACACACACACACACACACATGCACGCACGCACGCACGCACGCACGCACGCACGCACGCACGCACGCACGCACGCACGCACGCACGCACGCACATATATATATATATATGTATATATATATACACATATGTATATATATATATATGATATTTTGATTCCCCATAGAAGGCAATGTGAGCTATTCTCTCAGCACATAGACTTAGCTACTTGGCTCCTAGTGAAGTCTGTAGAAATGGTATATAAGGTGCTCTATGTCTAGCGCAAGCCTTTGTTAGTTGCGTCTGTCAGTGGAACAGTGAGCACATGTGGCGGGATGCATCGTCATTACCACGCCTTTTCACCGATTGCTAATTCCAAACACGGTTGCGGAAGTCCGGTTTGGTCTGCCCCTGTGCTGGTAAGCCTGGTTCTGGACGCTGTCGGAGTGACAACACCCGCGGCGGTGCACCCTGTGACGGCGCTCCTCCACCGCCAGGTGTCGGACCAGGGCGGCGGTGTGCCGCGCAGCGTCAGCGACCTGCTCTTCCAGTACATGTATTCCACGGCGCCCAAGCCGTCCGTGGCCGGTGACGCCCCGCCGCTGGCAGGTAAGCCGCGCCGTCGGACCGCCGCCGTCCCCGTCCGTGGTCGGTGACGCCCCGCCGCTGGCAGATAAGCCACGCCGTCGCTACGCCGCCGTCCCCGTCCGTGGTCGGTGACGCCCCGCCGCTGGCAGGTAAGCCGCGCCGTCGGACCGCCGCCGTCCCCGTCCGTGGCCGGTGACGCCTCGCCGCTGGCAGGTAAGCCGCGCCGTCGGACCGCCGCTGTCCCCGTCCGTGGTCGGTGACGCCCCGCCGCTGGCAGATAAGCCACGCCGTCGCTACGCCGCCGTCCCCGTCCGTGGTCGGTGACGCCCCGCCGCTGGCAGGTAAGCCGCGCCGTCGGACCGCCGCCGTCCCCGTCCGTGGCCGGTGACGCCTCGCCGCTGGCAGATAAGCCACGCCGTCGGACCGCCGCCGTCCCCGTCCGTGGTCGGTGACGCCCCGCCGCTGGCAGGTAAGCCGCGCCGTCGGACCGCCGCCGTCCCCGTCCGTAGTCGGCACAGGACCACACTGGCTGCTGGGCGTGCGCGGGTCCACGTCCCCCGGCCACGTAGCGTGAGCTCGCGACAACAACGGAAACCGCTGAAAACGCGATATTGGCTGTCTGCTACTGGCAGCCAGCTGGTGTCTGTGTTACTTTTAATCTAGCATTTGAACACCTCTTTTCCCAGAAGAAACCGTGAATTGCTGCTAGGGGGTGTGCCCAGGTAGACTGCGTGGAGGGAACTGCGTAACTTAATATTGGCAGTTGTAACCATGATAGCGCATCAAACCGGATGGCTTTGGTGTGATGCTGTTTTTTGGGACATATGTTCCAGTAATGTGTGGAATAGAAATAAAATATGATGTGCGCCTTGAGTCAAACATGGCAAAGTGCTGCTTTTCAGACTTTTTCATGTTGGGGAAAATAATGTGTCAATATATGGGAAGGTTGGAAGCATCTAAATGCATTGTGGTCTGTTGTCTGACTGCAAGTGTTACTCACACTCAGCTGTTGATCATTGTCTGAATTTGAGGGCTTCATATTGTTTTTTTCGTGCTCCATCGGACTGTATGGTCCTTAGATCCATGGAATTGTAGTGTTGTTAGATTTACACCTAAAATAGTCGGAAACGGACTGAGCGCCCAGGCCAGCGAAGACATCAAAAACCGGAAAGGTTGTATTGGAATGACGTGATGTGATAACAAAGGCCGATTATCATAATGCAATCAAGATGTCACATGACAAAGAGTCAAGGTTTAACCTGAACGCTAAATATCGCCCAAGCTTATGTGCTCTATTTCACCACGCCACTAGACACGCGCAAGCATGAGCGTCCAGTAATTCGCACCACGGCCGGAACGTTTTCCCGCGCTTCGGACGAAATCAGTTGAATTTATTGTTGATAACATGAGGTATTTTTCCAAGTTACGGGGTACTTTTTTGACGTGTGTGCGGCAGCATCAACGTTTAAAAGAGAATGAGTAAGAGTGCCGTGTAAACTAAAAATGTAAACGTTTGTATAAATATTGCTCGTTAGAACGGCAGTTAACTGATCAACGCCACTTGTGTTTTGTGTGGGGGCGCAAATAACCATTGCCGTTGACACTCCCTTAAACCCCACGAACTTAACTGAGCACGCCATTCGTGGACGCGGTTCGCGGCTGAAAATGAGTGCTGATGCGGAGGGAAGTGGTTAGCTCGTACGTGCTTTGGGCACTTCCATGTTTTACGTTACGCGTGCAGGGAGAGGGGGCGCTGGAGCGTAGCCAAAGCATAGCACGGGAGAGGGCGGGGAGGCCTGCGAAGGTTGGACAGCGCATTGTTACGCTCGGGTGTGGTTTCAAATCATGCCTTGGTCTTACATAATGTTTTGCAACCACAAAGGCGGATACTATCGGGTGTTTGTAGTAAGTAATATGTCCATCTTCGTTTTGCACCTCTAGCTTAGGGGTCAAGCGGACGCTTCACTCAGCGTAACCAGGGGGAAGAGGGTTTTCATCCAGCATAACCAGTCCATGGCCAAGGGAGGGAGGTTGGAAGTGGTCAAAATGTGTAACATTCATGGATGGTTCCTGTCTTTTGTTTTTGGGGTACGCGCAATGTATGGCAAATGCTTGCCGTGGAGATAAATTCTCAGTATTTTCCCCATGCAATCAATTTTTTGCTGTAGTTAACGTTGAGGTCCGTTGAGTTTTGTGCTGTAATTAACGTTGAGGTCCGTGCTGTGCATTTGAGAGAGCTTGACATGTTTTGTCATTGGTTACTTCATGCTAAGAGAGGACTGCACTTTCGAGTGAGTTTCTTTTTGTGATTGTCATTGTGTGAATCAAAACAAATGTATGATTTAGAACAAAGGTGGCCCATGAAGACCACTTATATGCAGGTTGAATGTGTATCATAATATTGTTCGGAATGGTGCAACGAATGCTGGCCAACATGGAGTAACCGCGATCCAGAGATTGCGGGGAACAAAAATGGAGACAAACGTTGAGGTCGATATATGTTGAGCGAGCTCAAAATATGTTGAAGACAGCGTAGAGCGCAGGACACTTAACCAGTAAGGATCGGCACGCTATGTTGGTTGGCGACCCAGAAACTGCGCTTGATTATTGGTGTGGTCAGATGGCTAACTGATACCTGGTCATGATTTGGTTCGGCGGGCACGGGGCGGCCATGTGACGGCATTTCCAGGCAATTGGCACGTTAACGTCTTCTACGTCTAGCAAGTGCGCTTTTCACAAAGCTACCCCTGCAAAACATTTGATAAAATGAAAAAAAGATCTTAACAATTGCCAGATTGCGAAATACGTTTTGTCTGCGGACGATGATTGGGAAGCGATGATGGATGACGTTTGATATTTTGACATTTGGCAAGATGCATGTGCCCGAAGTCCTCTCATTGATAAGCCCCATGCCGTTCGGAAAGTTTGTAGCGAACGCTTCTCTATCCGCGACATCCACGCACGAAGGGTTTTCGAAGTCGGTTCGTCTTTCGCTGTGTTGTTGACGAAGAGGCGTCGGTATGTGGGTGACTAGACCACCATAGTTTGAAAGGGGTGTGTTTGAATCCATTCCTGATTGCGCTATCATCTTCGGCCCTATAGAGATACGTTGGTTCAGAAATTTTGTTTTCAATGTTCCAGACCTTAGATATGAATTCAGAATGAATTCAGCGCCTCAGATTTGTGGAATGGTCCCACCAAGCAAGCTCTTGGCATCACCTATTGATTGCTTAGAGCAAACACTTGAGCCAATTGATGTCTCTGAAACCTCAGAAGGCATATTCAAGGCCCCGACAACATGTTGTCTCCAGCTTTCCTTGGGCCAACGGCACAATGTCTGTCTGGGCAGATGCAACCAAAGCACATATTTTGACTTGTTTCTGAAGTGTAGGCAAGTTTATTTTTGCTGATAGGCGAAAGGCGAACGAAAAGGGGACTAATATCAGAGGTGTATTAAATTTTTCGTCCTTTGAGAAACATACTTAAAGCTTTGATGTCGATGCATGATGTACATGTTGACATCATTTACGAAATGTGTTGTTCTGTATGTCGCAATTTCAGAACCTTGTTCTCAATTTTCAAAGGACATAACCTGTTCGTAGGCACTGCAAATGGGTGCCGGTAGCGCAATGTTCTCGCTGGGCGTTGGGGGAAACATGAATACGTGGTAGAAGCTTTGTTCCTCCCACGGTGCTCGCCGTCCCGTTAGGAGTAGAGGCACGCGACACCAACAGCTGTCTCCGCTGCTGAGCGCGTGGTAAGTCCCCAATGACAAGAAACACTGCTAGACTTGTCTGATTCACCGGTGAGCTCGGTCACGCTTACATGGCAGACGTGGCCGCGATCTGTTGTATACTGTGCTACGGAGAGTCCTGCACGGGGCGGAGTCAGCGTTCCAACTACCGGGCCATTAGGCCTGCATCACAGCCGGCGGAAGAGTGTTTGGCAGCTATGAGCACCGATACGGAATGAGCCCACTTTTATTGAGAAACCTACTTTTTTATTTTGCATTCTATCCACGGCACGAGTTCCCGTTCCCTCCGTGTTCCGCCGCCACCGCGGCCATCGGCCCCATATGGTTCCATGACAGTTGCTTTGTTTTGTCATAGATGCAGAAATGGGGCGTAATGGAAAGACGAAGCGGTAAAAGTGGCGCTGTTTGATATGATTTTGCCATTGCGGGAAAAGTGACTGCACTTTTTAACTTCACCGACGGAGCACAGTCCCGCGCGTGTGCCATGCTGAAGCACTAGATTCCTAAATCCTGTTTTTGTTTTTGCCTGTAGGCATGCAAGGATCAAGGTTCCCCATCCGCGTTCCCAGTGTTGCCATCCGCCCCACGCGGAATGTGCGTGAGCCGGGCCGGCCGGCTGACGCAGCGCGGAACGCGTGCCAGAGCGGCGGTCTGGTCGGGCACCCGGCCCAGCGGTGCCGACGTCAGCTGTCACAGCTGCCGTGCCTCCGCGGCTGGTGACGAAAACGGCGCACCAAACATCGACCGAGGCGTATTTTCGCTATGGTGGCGCCACTGCAACACGCTTCGATTAAGATTATTTTGATCTGATTATTTCATTTCTATTTGTGTCTCAATCGATAACAGGGAGCATATTCACATATTTAAGCTTTACGTAAGCATGCACTCGGTGACAGTTCCCTGTTGGATGTTATGATATATGAGAGTAACCCAGTTTGTTCATGTTTCCCATGACGACAAATTGGCCCCGCGAATTTCCTATGTCACTGCCCATGTCCGCCAACAGGCATAACTAGTTACGACGTTAATGACTGACAGTGCGTGGACAGGCATGCTGTCATTGGTAAAATGCATCCCAGTTGCATCATTTGCCGTGAAAGAAAGTGAACAGTGTCCAGTGCGGAGAGGTAATGCGAAGAGATCAGCAGCTTCACCTGACCTGCTGGAGCGGAAGGTGTTGCGGGAGGTGCCAACGCCACTATATTTAGATACACAACACAGGAAGCATGGACGGTGTCGCGGTTGAACTCAGACTCGTTGTCGACGGCTCTGGTGCCCCTGCTCTGTTGGCTGGCGAGGGTTGAACTCAGACTCGTTGTCGACGGCTCTGGTGCTCCTGCTCTGTTGGCTGGCAAGGGTTGAACTGAGACTCGTTGTCGACGGCTCTGGTGCTCCTGCTCTGTTGGCTGGCGAGGGTTGAACTGAGACTCGTTGTCGACAGCTCTGGTGCTCCTGCTCTGTTGGCTGACGAGGGTTGAACTCAGACTCGTTGTCGACGGCTCTGGCGCTCCTGCTCTGTTGGCTGGCGAGAGTTGAACTCAGACTCGTTGTCGACGGCTCTGGTGCTACTGCTCTGTTGGCTGGCGAGGGTTGAACTGAGACTCGTTGTCGACGGCTCTGGTGCTCCTGCTCTGTTGGCTGGCGAGAGTTGAACTCAGACTCGTTATCTACGGCTCTGGTGCTCCTGCTCTGTTGGCTGGCAAGGGTTGAACTCAGACCCGTTGTCGACGGCTCTGGTGCTCCTGCTCTGTTGGCTGGCGAGGGTTGAAGTCAGACTCGTTGTCGACGGCTCTGGTGCTCCTGCTCTGTTGGCTGACGAGGGTTGAACTCAGACTCGTTGTCGACGGCTCTGGTGCTCCTGCTCTGTTGGCTGGCGAGGGTTGAACTCAGACTCGTTGTCTACGGCTCTGGTGCTCCTGCTCTGTTGGCTGGCGAGGGTTGAACTCAGACTCGTTGTCGACGGCTCTGGTGCTCCTGCTCTGTTGGCTGGCGAGGGTTGAAGTCAGACTCGTTGTCGACCGCTCTGGTGCTCCTGCTCTGTTGGCTGGCGAGGCTGACGATCGTTTGTTTATGCTGCGTTATGCGGGTAGGTGACCTCTGGCGTGCGTTCCAGGCGGTACACTCGCCTACACACACGGCGCAGTGCGCTTCACTTTTCACTTTTTGGGTCTGGCTCCGCTGCCGGGAGCCGAAATCAGGTCATAAAAACGCCCCAAAAACGGACGGGTTCATGATGGGCGCTGAAACGCGAGCGACCGGCTGTACCCATGAAAACAGAATTAGTCTCGAGGCTTCAAACTTTTTGATTGGATGGTATCCTGGGACCAAAGCCCACGTTGAGCAGTGGCGGTAGGTCAGCCCTGGTTTCACTGTTTGATCGTGAAGCTCCAGGTCAACGGTATAATTTTGTGGCCAGGTTTTAACGCGCTGCAATCCTTGGCACTTTCCGTTCCACCCTCTTACGTCATCTGACCTTAAGCGCTCCCGCTAGTACCGGTCACAGATCATCCCAGTCAGGGCCAAATCACGAGCACTTTACCCACCCACCGCGGTTTAGCGAATTCGAAAATAAAGGTATCTGTCGCTTCGTTCTGTATCTTTTGGACCGAAAGCCAGCCACCCCTTTTAAGAACAACTTTGCCTGTCTAGAATCAAAGTGTGATTGAAACAGGTGCTAGGCACGCCTGATTTGATTAATTCGGGTGACAAGGAGTGCTAGTTTAGTGTACGTTGACTTCCGTTTGGCAGCAAACTTGGGTCAAATGGTCTTTACGTTCCGATCTCACTGTACGCAACATTTTTCGTACCTTAACGTCATTCCGGGATCAACTGGCGAAGGTTCCACATCTGTCCTTCGTCTGGGCGTGCGTGATGAATATTTTCCTCCCAACGTGAGCTAATGGCTGTTGTCGTCATGCGTTGGGATGCACCGCCACGACCCCACTGAAATAATACGGATGGCTGTTGGCGGGCGAAGACTGTCGGCCTCCCCGCTGTGCTGAAGTTGATCCCTGTTGGCAGGCTATGGGTACGGCTTGCCCCTGTCTCGGCTGTACGCCCGCTATTTCCAAGGTGACCTGATCGTCAACTCGTACGAGGGCTACGGAACGGACGCCATCATTTACCTCAAGGTGCTGTCACGCTTGCTGCAGTTTTTGTGTCATGAAGGATTTGACACTAACTCGAATGGATTCCAATTTCTGTGGGAGGCTGATGACAGTGAACTAATCTGTGGTTTGGGACATCAGCTCTGTTACAGTAAACAGCTTAGGTGGAACTGTTGTGTTGAAACTCCTAAACTTCTGCAGCTCCATTCCGAACAGTGGCGGTTGGCTCGAGATGTAACGATTCGGCTTTGGCTTGTTTACTGATGACTAAGCAAAACTCACTGTGCAAATATTACGGCGTCTTGCTGCGCTATTTACGTCAACTGGTCATTGGTACGAGCGCGCATGGTGTCTTAAGGACATCTGATGGTGCGCTGATCTCTTCCGTGTCTTGATGTGCCTTATGTGTGCGCTATAGCGCCATTTCGAAAGCATTTCCTCGTAATTGGTCCTGGAGGACGGAGAAGCGGCGATGGCTAATGGGTGCAACGAAATCTTTGTGTTCTATTTCTTCTCGAGCACATTGTATGTGTTGCCACTGCGTCGTTTATTTTGCGGGCTGTTTTTCGTCAATGCGCCGGATGCTGTTGATGTGGCGGAGTTTCGGTCTAATTCGGGGCCACTCACCAACAGGCCCTGGCCAAGGACGCCAACGAGGTGTTGCCAGTGTTCAACAAGTCCTGCGAGCGTCACTACCAGAGCACGCAGCGCGCGCCCGACTGGTCGTCGCACGTGATCGGTGCCAACTCGGGGGGCGCCGGCGTCCGCAACCTCCGCACCTGGTCGGCCGGAGCGCATTGACGTCATGGTCCTAGCGAGCTGCTGATGTCACGGCCCTAGTGAGACGCTGGCGTCACTGACCTAGTGAACCGCTGACGTCGCGGTCCAAGTGAGCCACTGACGTCACTGTCGTAGTAAGCCGCTGGTGTCACGGCCCTAGTGAGCCACCGATGTCGCGGCTCTAGTGAGCCGCTGACATCACGGCCCTAGTGAACCGCTGACGTCACGGCCCTAGTGAGCCGCTGACATCACGGCCCTAGTGAACCGCTGACGTCACGGCCCTAGTGAACCGCTGACGTCGCGGCCCTAATGAGCCACTGACGTCACGGTCCTAGTGAGGCGCTGACGTCACGGCCCTAGTGAGCATATGACGTCCCCCGGACGGAGAGCCGGGACGCTGCGACTGCGGCTGCGGCTGGGGGGCGGCGGGACGTCTGGCCGCCGTAGCCAGGTGTGGGTCAGCCGGCGCCTCCTGGCGTGCCAGGGGCAGACCTGGTGTGGGGTGCGGACGGTGTGCGGGACAGCGGTGGAGTGTTGGGTGACCTCGGACGGCACGGCGGGACCGGCTGGCTGCTTGCGGCCGGCCGGACCGATGCCGGTAACGCGCCAAACGCAAGCCACGAGCGGAACAGCTGGCGGGGCTCGTGGAGAGGCCAGCTGGCCCGCACCCGAGAGGCGCCAGTTTTTCCTGGGCCAGTGTAGGCGGCGTCATCTTGTGCTACTGTGGTGACGTCAGAGTAGGTCAAGTTTTGTGTTGCCGAGTGGTTATTGATGTCGTTAGCTGAGGCATTGTCTCACGTTGTATAGTGAACACGGAGTACAAACTACTTCTGGACAGACCATAGGCGCTGTAATCTCGGCTCGCAAAAGACGTGCGAACAGGGTCAGTATTAGAGGAGAGCTCGTGCCCTGCTGTGGTCTGTTCATCACAAAACAGCGGTGTTACGGTCGCTGAAAGGCGACAAGTACCATTGGACAGGGCTAGTGGTAGATATCGTTACGTGGTGGTGGGCAGTGACCTGGAGCTCATGTACACGCCGCGGCATTGGGCAAGTGCTTATGTCGTGCAGTGGCAATGTTCTGTTGCGATACGGTAACGTCCCAGGCAGGACAGTCAGGATCATGTTCTCGCTCGATTTGGTTTTATTGTGTAAAGGGAAACCACTCGAACCTCCTCATGAAACATAGTCAGTTGTGTCCCTTCGTCGATTCGCTGTGTCGTATTCGCGGAGTTCTTGTGCTTCAGTGTCTGTTAGAGGGATGAGGAAAAACGATGGTTTGCTTGTCTTTGCATTGTGAAGCTATCGCTTGTAAAATTGCCAGACCTTTTCGAATGATCACTGTCAGAACATCAACTGCATCAAATCAAGTGCTTGTACTACAATTACGGGGCTCATTTTGAATTGAATGCTGCCGTGAGATTACTGCTTGGTTAAGCAAATGTTGCTGGCTACTTTCTATGGTGATTTGCTGCAGAAGCCCCAAAGCTGCCTTACATAATTTAACGAAACTTGGAATTGATTTCTCCCCACAAAAATGTGCGAACAATCATTGTAGCAAGTCGCTTTGGATGCCGAAGTACGGAATGTGTTTCATTGGAGTGCTTATCTAAATTTACATTGCTGATGGTTAGTGGCTATCTGAGGTTATGGTGACATCTCTATATTGTTGACGCAGATGTGCGGGCTTCCGGCGGCCTCCTGGGAAAGTTTTTTATTGTCAGCTCGGTTGGCCTTCAGTATTTACTAGGTTTGAGATGCGTTTTTTTATTTAAGGAAACTTTTAGTGCAAGAGGTGTATTTTTGCAGGGACGCGAAATGCATTTGACTGATATATAGTATACGACATGGTCCTAACGGCGAGTGTTCGATGGAAGTGCCTTGAGGCTATGTATTCGTAAATACCACTTCGATAATAGTGATACCCAACCTGAGGCCATGTACTTCTCTCATAGGTATTTTCTGAACTATCTTCACAAGGTTGTATCCTGTGCCATCTTTTTACCCCGCAAAGTGGTCACCATCGTGGAATTGCTTTTCGATGCTGGTGCTGTGAACGACATGGCTGACAAAACGAGGTGGCCGTATTACATTTGCGGGATGTGGCGGTGAACATTATGATGGGGCAGGGTGTTTGGAGAAGGCCACATTGTGACACACTGACTAGCAATGCAGATGACGTGTTTTCTTCCGTGTTATGTGTACAAGCTGTGTTACAATAAATATGAAATGTGAAATAGCTGCTGAAGTGGACGCTGGCCGATTTGCTCCATGGCATAGCACGATTACTTCAACGAAGCCTGTACAGGCCGACACCAAATGCAAGAGGCGTGTTTCCGCAACGGGTCATGATAAATTTGGTGCATACCCTGCTGGCTAATGAAAGATATCACTTATTTTCCGTCGCATCATTATCGACTCAGATTGTTTTTTTGTAGCACGGAACATGTCGACTCGTGATGACCTTATCGGCAATGGAAACAGAATCAGTGCGACCATGCATAGGACTTCCTCGAGCCTGCCACGGGAAGCATGAGTTCATGAGTTCGAAAATATCCAACACGGGCCCTCGAGGCATCCATATAAGATCCCGTGCCGAAGGGCTTCCCCGAAGTAAACACCAGGACTCCTATGGCCAGTGGCAAAGGCAGAGGGGCACAGGGGCCACGTGCGTCCCCCTGGGCTCCGAGTGTATATTCGGGAACCTCGGGACCTTCCATTAAGGGCCTAATTCGAGGCCAGAAAGGCCTACCGGAGATCGCCCCAGCGTCTGTCAGGGCCCTACAGCGCCTGGCAGTGGGCCCTGTGTTGGCAAGGGGCTACGAGTTGTCCAGAGGCAATGTTCGGGGAGGCCCGAAGAGCCTGCCCACTGAGACGATCAAAGGCAACGAAGGCACGAAGAGTTGGTCTTCCTGAGGGTACGAAGGGCCAGAGTCTTATTAAGAGGCCTCGGCCCATGGGGACGGGCCCTCAAATGACAGAGAGTCCTTTGCGCCGGTCGAGGACCCCCTGGGTCGATAAGCGCCTATATGTTGGTCAGGCAACCACATGAAGGTGCGGTGGTGGTGCCGTATTGGTACAGTACCGCACAGTCGGCTCCATGTCGGTAAAGGTCTAAGGGCTCACTTCCCAAGCAGCTAAAAAGCTGGGGCCAGCAGTTTACACTGGTCGGGGCCTCTGTATCTGTCTGGGACCGACAGTGTCTAGCTGGGGCTCAGTATTCGCAAGGGATCCCGAACCGACCAACGGCAGTGCTCGATGGGCTCGAAGAGGGGGCCCGGACAACTCGCCGGAGCCGACGGCAAAGGCCCGGTTGGAGGGCATAAAGCCTCGAAGGGCTGGCTGCAAGTCACGTGGAGAATCGCGGCTCGTGGGCCGTGACCTGAAATATCCCTTAGAGGGCCTCTTGCACCGTCTGAGGACCCCCTGAGACTGTGCGAATGTCTATGTCGGCCAGAGACCATCGAACCCGAACAGCTAGCTCCCTGTGTCATTCTGAACCCTGAGGGCACATTTTCCGAGCAGACGCAAGGACGGGGGCAACGATTTGCATCGGCATGGGGTCCTTGAAGCAATGATCGAGTCCCTGTGTCGATCAGGGGCCCACGGTGCCTAAGAGGGGCTCATGCGACGGCTGGTGGACCCGAGTCGATTGCGGGCCTTATTTGAGGATGTACAAAGAGGAGCCGAAGGGCCCTTCGGAACCAAAGATCAAGGGCCAAATTGGTAGGCTGAAGGGCCTGAAGAGCTGGCGGTGGGTCACATCAGGGACGACCCCACATCCCACCCGCAAAGCCGTGACCTCAAATGTCAGGGAGCCTCTTGCAGCGATTGAGGACACCTAGTACGGTGCGGGCCTCTTTTTTGGACAGAGACCACCAACACCGAACAGCCGGGTTCGTGTTGGTCTGAGCCCTGGGAGTGCATCTCCCAAGCACGAGCAAATCCGGACACGTGATTTGCATTAGTCAGGGTCACTAACCAATGAGGGCCCACATGCCTAACATGGGTTCCTGTGTCGGCAAGTGGACTGAGCCGCCAGGAGCCGTTTTCGCGGGGTCCAAAGAGGGGCCTGAAGGCCCTTGGGACCAAATATCACGGACCAGATTGGACTCGGGCCCGACCCCCCAATCTGTCGTGCGGTGACCTAAAATGTCAGAGGGCTTCTGTTGGGGCCTTCTTATCAGGCTCCTCTATGCCTATTGTATAGGGCCTCGACATGGAGCCAAATAGTCGGCTCCGCGCCCATTTGAGACCTTGGGCGCCCATTTCCCCAGCAAGAACAAGGCTGGAACCCGCGATTTGCAATGTTCGTGGTCCATGATAAAATGAGAGGTCCCTGCGTCCGTCAGGGACCACAGTCCTAAACGGGGTACGGTGGCGGTAGATGACTCCGAGCTGGCCAGGAGCCTTGTTTAAGGGACCCGAACAGGGGTCGAAAGGTATTCGATACTAGAGGTCAAGAGACCTATTACCCACTTTCACTGCTTGCTCTCGTTCCGTCCCACTGATCGCAAACAAAAAGCAGAGCGTCGACAAATATGGCGCAACCGCGACGGTTGACTCGCCGTTGCTTGCGTTGCTTCAGTTCTTGCTTCGGTCTGAGGATCCTAAACCGTTATCATATACGGATGGCCTGATTGTCGAAGCCTAGATATAGTTATTATATTGCGTTCGCCACACCCAGGGTTTTACTGGCTGTACGCAAGGCACTAGGTGCAAGAAAAGCTGTGTAGACTGCACAGGGAAGGGCTCTGAGGTAACGCGAAGCTGCTGAAGCTATGGTGAGTCGGTATACCGTGATTAACGAGAACTGATATAAAACTTCCCTGATAGCCTTGTTTAAGTAAATACTATAGTCACTGCTTAGTCACACACCAGACAGTGCCAGAGCTGACTGTTAGTCTTGTTTTGGATAGGTTTGCTTACATAATTTTGGAAGTGGAAACTCTTGGTGAGACCCTTTTGTTGGAAGATCATAACAACTTGTTTATTTTGTAAATCAAAGTGCCAGTTTGTTTTTTCTGCTTCAGAGTACAAAAACGGATGCTTTTCTGAACATGTGGAGTATATAGCAGCAGGATTGTAATAATGGCCTGACAGCAACAATATGCAATGTCAGCATTCATGCATGATGTCCTAGAAATCTCGCTGTGATTTACCAATGATCATCAGCTGACATTCAACCAGTAACCACACTTGTGTGGGGGTTGGTCTAGGGCCTTTGTGGCAAGCTATATTGTATCATGGATGTCCCCAAGCACCCAATTTGATAACTTGGCACCAACAAAGCCACAGGCAAGACACTGATTTAGAAGGTTGTTGTGCCAAAGCCAGTTTTGAAGTCCATTGTGTAAATGCATCACCATAGGGTTAATATTCAGCACTTTTCAAAGTGGGGTGCTGGGTGCTCTTGGCTGATTGTAATACCCAAGCACTGGCCAAAGGCTATATTGGTAGCACTGGAATATGTGGTCAGACCTTCAAATGTCCGTCAGAGAGCCTCTTGAACTGACTGAAGGCACTTTGTAACATTGTGGGCCTTCATGTTGGCTAAAGACTATCAGATCTGATTAATTGGCTCTGTGTCTGTCAGAGGATTGGGGCTCATGTCCCAGGGAGGGACAGCACCTGTGTGCTGATTGGACCCTGAATTAATAAGGGTCTCCCTGTTTCAGTCAGGGGTCCACAGTGCCTAACAGTGGGTCCTGTGCTTGCAAGATGTCCAGGCTGCCCAAAAACACATTTTCTAAACACAGATGGGGTTGGAACCCAGGATATCAGGGAACCTCTCTAATTGGTTCGGGCCTTCTGATACTGAAGGAAGACATGAGTAACTATAATGACAGTCTACAATGAGACATTAGAAGATCCCTGTTTTGAGTCAGGGTCCCAGTGTGGAATGGAATGGGGTCTTCACTTCATTTCACCCAGGGATCAATAATTCAAACTTAGTCCCCATGACAATGACTGGACACCCTGTGCCAGTAAGGGTTTTTTGCATGATTGAGGGCCCCTCACCCTGCATCAATCTGGGACCAAATACCACAGTCAGAAGGTCTCCGATTTCAGGAAGGTGACCAAGATATGATATATCCCTCAATGGGCCTCCAGATCAAACAGGGGGCCCCCAGTCCCACATCACCAAAATGACAGTTGGTAGGTACCCAGATCTGAAACAGCAGGACCCTTTCCTTCAGACTCTGTACTGGGAAAGACAATGTGTCCCCTAGTCATCTCCCACCAGCCCCAATCAGGAAAATGTATGGTGTCTTATTGTTCAGGATCAAAACAAGGTCAGAAATTCATATTGACATCAACTGGCTTAACCTATACCTGCCAAGAGACGTCCATGCTTTTCAGAATCAACATGTGAAACAAATAATATAAAACTAGTATTGGTGATATGTGCTCGTAATCTGCGGGAGCAAAACACCGATGCCTTTCGTTGCCGTCTCCCCGGACCGAGTGGCGTTGGCCGCTGCATCACCAGGCGACGTGCGCCGTGCGCACGAGAACAACCATGCGTCGCGGAATAACACTTCCGGAAACCGTTCGAATCAAAATTAGCACGTTTCAAATGTCAGACTGGGGCGTTTAGTTTATCTGCACAATCGGGTTGTCTGCTCAATGGATTATCAGTCCCAGCAACACCAAAAATAGAAGTCGCGCCATTGGTTCAGGAGTTTATGGTGCTGTAACGGCTAATCCGTTCGCATTATCAATCACAAGATCGCACGGCTGAAATTCACTGTCCGGACTACCCTCGAAGTCTGTCGTTGATTTTACAAAGCGCGCAAAGCTACTTCTTGCCGATGCGTGGTCGTTTTCGTCTGCTCGTTAGCTCCCACCTGGTGCTAGCTGCGGAGTCAACTCTGCGAGACCGTTGGAGACTGCAGCGCTGGACGGTGCGGTTTTTTTTTTTTGCTAAGGGGCCGCCCACTTAGTACGTTGTGCATGAAAGGACAGGTCGCTCAGCGTAACCAGTGCGTAAGCAGGGAGGGGGGCAGTTGAAAAAGACAGAAGATGTGTAACTTTATTCGTGTACAGCTTCTGCTGGCTGGTCCGCACACATGCCCAGAAATGAGTTATCCAGGTTAAAACAGCCGTGAACATTCCCAGACGAAGAAAGGTTGGCCATGTTATTACAAATTTTGGACCACGTTTCAATCGTCAATTTATGGTCGATGCAAACTGCTCCAAATCTCTAGAACCTCGGAAAAAATAGGGTAAAGCCCCTGATTTTAATACTAGAAATTTGAATAGAAAGAGCCCACTGAACCATTGTGAAATGGATAGCGCCGGCTGCTTATTCGATTCAGTCATGCAATACCTATTACCTTTAGTTATTGGCTTGCGTATGAAAGCATGAAAGCATAATTGCAAAATCCAGTGGATTCCGGCCCCTGGGTTAGATCAAATAGGTGGACGAATCAGCGTAACGGACGAGCCGCACTTTTGATGGTCAGGGCTCTGGATTTTAGGCAGGAAGGTAAAAGATGAAAATGAAACGAATAAATTCGGGTTCTCTCCCGGGAAATTAAGTGGGCCATATGCAGGGATTGTGTGGGTGAGCGATCTTTTCACCCGAGTAAGGGCCGTCCATCAACCCGGAGGCGTCCTGATCTTACCAAAATGGGCTACGACCCTGGAAGACAAATATTTCAATGCATTGGGAATACCTATTTGAATGGCTTCCCAGTTTGACGGGCTTGATTTGCTTCAAGTATGGTTGTGCTTTCTTATCATACAATGTATCATATACACCATATACTATCATTTTGTGTATTCTGTGGTAGGTTATGACATCATGTACATGGCGTCAATACTGGACCCGTGTTGTCACGCTGACCACCGCACTGCTTGCCGCGTCTAACTGGCCATAAAAGTAGACTTGGTCTTACAACCAATAGATTTACTTTTACATTGTTGTTTCAGGCCAGGTTCTTCAAGGAACAAGATATTGATGGTGAGGATCCTTTGTGTGCTCGAAAGGTGGTGCTGATTTGTCTTGACCGCAGATCGATGCTGTTGGTTGCTGCTTGTTCTAGAATTTTACTTCTCCAGTTGTGCCGCTTTGCATCTAGGACCCAGTTGTCCAATGTCATTACGTCTTCAAAGTGTGGCGAAATGAACTGAGATAAAGATAGTGCCACTCGAGTAGTTTGAGATTGGCAGCTCCAATGCCAGGGTCTGCACGTTTTGAACCGGCTGTTGTGATCTTACACTGAATGCAGCGTAATCCTTGGTATGAGCCGTTTTTCAGCTGTATAGAATTCAACGAGACAGACATAAACACGATATGCAAGTCAGCTATTAAATTGGCGTACCCATAATTCTCAACCAGGTCGGGGACTCAATCATGTTATCTGGCAGCGTTGATCGAAGCCGTTCCCATGCTATTTCCGTACCTAACCTCCTTTTTCTGTTAGAGTTTCGCGACTGCTTCCACCTGTTCGCTCGGCACGGCCAGATCACGACCATGGACGAGCTGACCGTCATCATGAGGTCCCTGGGAATGTCGCCCACCATAGCCGAGCTGCGCAACTACATGAAAGATAAGGGTAGGTACTGGATAACACGCCAGACTATGATATGTATGGGAAATATCAGAAGGAATGTTATGGTCGGAGTTTTATGGCGCGTCGCTGCAAGTGGTCATTTATTAAGAGTCAAGTTCATGGCAGTGTAGGGCTTAAAAAAACACCTAGAATGTAGTGTTATTAGACCTTCCATTGTATTGTCATCTTGAGAACTGTAATTGCGAGGTCGTCCTAGGTCAATGTCGTGGATTGTGATGACATTTTGGTTTAGGAACGCTTTTACTGCCTTGGTCCTTTTGCCGTCAATGTCGTGGAATGACCTCAGGTGACCCCATATGAGCCCCTGGAAGATAATGATGTCATGATTTGACTTATATCAACTTTATTTTGTGTACGCGTACAAAGCGAATTACAACCTATCAAGTTACGCGTTGACCTGGTTCGACCCAAGTTGGCAGGCCGACATCAAATATTATGTGGAATGATCAGAGCAAGTCTGAAATCATATGTAGCATAGTAATCAGTCTTTAGCAACTTCCTCAAACGCATTCAGTCAGGAATCAGCAGTGGAATTTCTAGCAACCCTTACGCCGTCAGGATGGCGAACCTAGCGAAGTCAAATATGATGATGTATAAGGACAATTATTGTGACCTGGGATCGTGCCTACTTTGTAACATGAAAACAAATAATCGCCGCAGTGTGTCGCTGCACGAATTTGTATCAGGTTGAGGACAGGGATGTTTTGAAATGCGATCCATCCTCGACCGGACCTTAATCTCACTTCACTAATGCTGCATGGCGTTCGATTTCAGGAGGAAAGATGTCTTTTGCGGAGTTCCTCGACATAATGCATCGACACACAAAGCAAGAGAAGATTCCGAAGGAGATCGTGCAGGCGTTCAAAGGGCACGACACTTCTCGCCGGGGTGTGATCTCGGCGCGTAACCTACGCCACATTCCTGCTGCGCTGGGGCGAGTGTCTGAGCCCGCGTGAAGGTGAGTGAAACTGAACCTGACACGTGCGTGATGGGGAAAGATGCTCTTGACGTTGTTGGCAGAAGTTGGACTTCAGTTAGCAGTTTGGAAAGCTTTTGTAAGTGTCGTGCCCTGCCGGACGTTATTTGTTGCACTTTTGCAAGCGCCATTGTCGACTCACAGGTCACGTTTATATCAGTAACTAGAAGCGCCGGTTTGACATTGACCGGATCCCATTAAAGAGAATTTTCGGATCCCATTAAAGGGAATTTTCGACTTTTGAAAATATTGAGGCAGGCATCAGATATTATGACCTAAGCCAATTTACAACTTTTGGCGTGCTTTTAAATGCAAAAGGCCGCTGCGGACAACACAATGTCTATGTTAAGTAGATATGCTGCTCAATACGTCACTGTTGATTGCGTCTTTTACGACATGGATTAAAGGCCCATTGACGTCCGTTATTTCTGGAAATCGTGCTCACGAATGCCATATGTGAACGACCCGACAAATATATTTTTATTTGCCGCGAGCGCCGCATGGCCAATGGAATGGCATGTTTCAATGACGCTATGATGGCGACATGGATGCCTGGATGACCCTGAAATGGTCCTCCTTCAAAAAAAAATGCACTTTTTGGCAGGCATGCATTTAGCTCAGAAACTAGATGGGCTCAGGCTTAAAGAATGGCAGGGCTGTGAACTGCACCGAATGGTGTTCAAGATGGCTATTTCGGTTAAAAACCTCCTACAAGTCTGGCACACACCCTTTAAGCAAAAAGCTTATTTTTGAAAGTATAGCACAACAGCAATGGCGGCAACGCAGATGCTTCATCGATTAGAAAGAACAGCACAGTGTTGTTGTGCCGATGTGTCTGGTGTGACCGGTGCCTCTGCCTCCCTCAGTTGACCAGATCTTCCGCGAGGCCAACATTCAGCCCAACGGGCTCGTCAAGTATGACGACTTCGTCAAGATTGTGTGCGCCCCGGTGCCGGACTACTATTAACTGCTGGACCGTCTTTACTCTTCACCTCTACGCCGTCCACTGGCTCCAAATGCGCAGCCGTCCGACCGGCCAGACGCCAGACATCGCCGGCAGCGAGACGCCCAGACTGCGAAATTGACATGGGGCGGGCCACATCCGGAGATCGATTCCAGACTGAAGTCACTCGGATGAGAGATGTCAACACCAAACCGTCCATGCACCTATACCCGTTTGTCGCCAAAAGATGGTCGGAGCACCGAACGGCGCAGGCAGGCTGTTAAGACAAGCGGGTCCTTGCATCATCCCGTTCATCTGGCAGGCACCGGCAGCAGGGCTTATAGAAACCGACCGTCCTTTAGCCAATTTCGGCCTGTTACTGCGCACGGAGTTGGGCCCGAAGAGCACTAAGAACAGCGTGCACGCGTTGCGATTGGTGTATGTTCTGTTGTCACGGTTGGCGACTGTTTATTGTTACGTCCGTCCTTCAAGTATTTATATTTTTGATGATAATCTACTCACGAGCGTGCTGTCTTTGTTCCTGCAGCAGTGTCATGTGAGTGCTGTCTACGTCGGTACGTGTACCTCAGAGTGCGTGCCGGACCGTTGTTCAATGATAAAACAATGCCTCGTCTGTACGACGCTTACTTAGTCAGGGTCGTAAAAGATCTGTATTATTCCGTCCCAGTCTTCCATGAATAAGTTGTGGTCGCATGCCTGCAGGAATGACACGCCGCCGTATTGCTGGTAATATGTATTCTGTCTTTACGATAGCGCAACCCATTGTGCCGGAGAAAGACCCTCGTGATGTTGCAATGCATTTTCGCGGCACTTGTTGGAAACCGTAGACCTCGCGTATTGTTTATGCAAGCACTGGAGCATTTACACACACGACTGACAGCTGGAATATTATAATACACTTTCTAGCAAGATGCGCGCTTATGTCGAAAGCTGCGAGCGGTGCGATTTTGTTGAACACGCGCCCGGGTGGCCGGTTGAGTGTCCTTCACTCGGGTGGGGGTTCAATTTGCCCCCCCCCCCCCCTGAGATCTCAGAAACTTAGAGAGCTAAAAACACCGAATTCACAGAGTGTGTTTGCTTATGCGTGAACTCACTTGTCAAAGTGCGATTCCTAGGGCATGGCCTTCCAATCAGGTAAGGTCAAACAGGGTCAAACTCCAGTTTGACGTCCAAAGTGCTCCAGAACCTAGATACCTGTTCTAAGCAAAAAACCACTGGTGCTCATTTAAGGTCATTGACATTGTTTGACTTTTCGTAGGCTATGATGACCAGAATCATACCAGACTGCACATAGTTTTGCATGTGATTAAGCGCCAAGGACTAGGTCAGGCAGTATGTTCCTGAAAACAAAATGTTGACCTGGATCATTTCACGTCAGTGACCTACGATCTTTAAGAAGTTCATGGAGGATGTATAGTGCGGTTTCTGTTGATAAATTCGAAATGACCACCAGAAACTACAGTACACGGCAAGCTATGCAGTGATACAACAGGTTGGTTTTGGCCTAGGTTTGGCCGTCCTTATTGACTCTAGGTCAATGGGATTTGTTCATTCAATTGTTACGTTGCCTAAGAAACTATCCTTGAGATTTATGGTTTCGCCAAACACGCCGTTGTTGCACCAGATTGAGAGATTCCCTAGAGATTGTCCGCTGAATCCATGGTCTGACTCTGACCTGCCATAGATCAGCGACCTTACAAGGTACATCTAATTTGTTGACATCCACATGATCCGCCATGCACTTGTCTACAGTTCGGCGCGGTCATGCCGTGCCGTTCGGAAACCATTTCGGAAAAGCCTTCGGGAGGATTCAAATTGACCCCCCCACCCGAGCGCGTGTTAAAGAACGTGCCGTGCAACAGAGAAGTACGCCAAGCGCTCAGACCTTGCCAGCCCATTTTGCCACTCGCGTCATCAGTCCGCAGCGGGATCGACGGGACTGTCCAGCCCTCCCCTCCCCCCCCCCCCCTTCTCCGTCTACAGGCCCTCGTGGTCCATCAGCTGCTCTTGCGAACCCCAACGGTTTGCGGCGCGGGCATCGAGAGTACCATTCTCCAGCGGACCTCCAACCGGCCTGAAACAGCGGGGCATCAGCAGGCCGATGTTCACAGGCAGTTTGCTGTGAACGACGGCAGGGACGCCCCATGATGACATGCCAATTACAGAGAGTGAGCGGCCGGACGACTGAACCGCGGCGGGCTAGAGAATAACAATGCTGAGCTGCCCGGCGCATAGCGAACGAGCGGGGCTGTTCCCGTTCCTGGCTGCACCACCGTCACATGAACCGTGCGTCTGAGCGGCAGGAGCGCATGCATTCATGAGTGAGGTGCACCTGTCTGCAATTAATCGAGGAACTTTTTTCAACCTGCTTGACAACGATGCCATGTCGCGACTACACAAACCTCACTTGATTTCAACGCCCGATTCCGACAACAACAGATCGGGAATAGACGGAGAGTGGGGACGCCGACAGGCCGCACCCTCGCTGAGCGCATTCCGTGTCTGCGGACACTGGACCGGCCGCGTCTGGCGCCGTACCTGTCTGAGGACAACGCGTCGTCACGCTGATTGTAGGCCAGGTTCTCGACCGAGTGGTGGGCGGCCGGGCGGCCGGCCGACAGCCTGCGCGGCAGCCAGGGGACGCGCTGCCGGCGCGCGTACCAGAGTCCAGCGCCGACCAGCGCCACCACCAGCACCAGCACCAGGCAAATGATGCCGAAGACGCCCCAGCCTCCGCCGCCGCCGCCGTCTACTGCAGGCGCAGAGAGCCGCTGGACGCGAGCGCGGCAGGGGACAACGTACCGCCCTGATGGGTACGACAGGGAACAACGTACCGCCCAGACGGATACGACAGGGAACAACGTACCGCCCAGACGGATGCGACAGGGGACAACGCACCGCCCTGACGGATACGGCAGGGGACAACGTACCGCCCAGACGGATACGACAGGGGACAACGTACCGCCCAGACGGATACGACAGGGGACAACGTACCGCCCAGACGGGTACGACAGGGGACAACGCACCGCTCTGACGGATACGGCAGGGGACAACGTACCGCCCAGACGGATACGACAAGGCGCAACGTACCGCCCAGACGGATACGACAGGGGACAACGTACCGCCTTGACGGGTACGACAGCGGACAACTTACCGCCCTGACGGGTAAGACAGGGGACAACATACCGCCCAAACGGATACGACAGGGAACAACGTACCGCCCAGACGGATGCGACAGGGGACAACGCACCGCCCAAACGGATGCGACAGGGAATAGCGCATCGCCCTGACGGATACGACAAGGAACAACGCACCGCCCTGACGGGTACGGCGGGGAACAGCACACCACCCTGACGGGTACGGCGGGAACAGCACACCACCCTGACGGGTACGGCGGGAACAGCGCACCGCCCTGACGGGTACGGCGGGGAACAGCACACCACCCTGACGGATACGGCGGGAATAGCGCACCGCCCTGACGAATACGGCGGGGAACAGCACACCACCCTGACGGGTACGGCGGGAACAGCGCACCGCCCTGACGAATACGGCGGGGAGCAGCGCACCGCCCTGACGGGTACGGCGGGAACAGCGCACCGCCCTGACGGGTACGGCGGGAACAGCGCACCGCCCTGACGGGTACGGTGGGAACAGCGCACCGCCCTGACGAATACAGGCGGGGAACAGCGCACCGCCCTGACGAATACGGCGGGGAACAGCACACCACCCTGACGGGTATGGCGGGAACAGCGCACCGCCCTGACGAATGTGCACCACTCTAGCGGGCACGTTAAGAGCAGCACTCGCCTCTACAGATACGGCACGGCCTCAGCACCACTTGGTACGACGGGCTAATCCGCAGTGTCGTTTGTCAGATACCAGGGGCGCAGCCAACGGAGTGGAGAGGGGTTCAGATTTGTCTTTTTTCGCCATAGATGGCTTCCGACGGAAAGACGAAAATCGGTGAGATGTGCACTAACCAATCCCCCCTCTAAAAAAACTTGCCCGCGCCTCACCAAAAGTTCAGTCACACTACTGGATAACATGGAATAGGAAACTGCATCCTCCATGCAGTGGTGCACACAACACTAAGTTACAAGGAGGACCTCACGATTGGTGCGCCAAGGCCTCTGCACTGCCCGACGCGACAGCGACTTTTCGATCACATCAACGGCGCGGTATGGTCAGGAAAAAAACGCAAGGATGATGCGCCCGCTGCGTCCAGGTATCTCGTCGCGCTGTGCTGTGCCCCACATGACTGGTTATTCGAATATTGGGATTGGAGCCCTTTCGACTAGCAATGATCATTTCAGGGCAATAGGATGAAGGAGACTGGATAACGGTGGGGCAGGACTACACGCGCCTGGGGGACCAGCCCGCCAACCTTAGCCCGCGCAGAGACCTCTCCGCGGGGTATGCGCCGGCCGCCCAGTCCGGGTCCCCCCCCCAGGGGCCTCTCGATCCATTCGTGGCTGGCGCCATGCGCATGCAGCATGCCCCGAACAAGCGAGACGTCGCGAGGATGTGGGATGAAACAAGAAAGAGGATTAGAGGGTCAGGTGTACCTCGCACGCACAAGTGCTAACGACAAGACGACGGTGGAGTCGTCGCATGACGCTGGACAGCCGCTGCAGAGGCCACCATACCAGTTGGCTCGACAGCTAGCGGTGGAGGCGACCTCTCGGACATGTGATGACGGAAGTGGGACGTCACGACGGCGTGCAAGCCACATGACATCACCGTCACCGACATCACGGGCGCGGAGTCTTAGCAGCAGGAAGGGAATACGTCGCTGCGAAGCATCGTAAGCTGAACTATGCATTGCTTTGCCACGACACCAGCCCGTTCGTTTGAGTGCAGAGCACGCATGACAAATGGGGGGGGGGGGGGGCGGGACATTTTTGATTGGCGTGGACGGATCCTGACGGCCGACTTACCGTTCATGAGGGTCCCGGCAATCGCTCCACCGCCGGAGGCCCCCTTTTTGTCTGTAAGCCACGAGCCATGTTTGTGAAGCACTGCCATGCTGCGTTTAAAAAAGGAAATACCACAACGCACAGGGGCAGCTACAAAATATTGATGACAGACACATCATTGCCTGTAGTTTATCCCTCCGTAAACGAAAGCGGCTCAATAGGAACTGAATCACAAACAGTTCTCAAGACTCCCTGTTTCGATAGTCAGACGCAGCTGCACAGCAGTCTAACGGGAACCAGAACACCACGACATGCGATGCGGCCCTCCTCATATCGACACATCCCTGTTTGCTCATGCCGTGGCGGCCGGCTTCCTCACTCACCTGTCATGCAGACAAATGGCAGGCGCTCGCTGCAGTCGACGTTCTCTCAGTCGCCCGCCCGGCTTGCCCACTCACCTGTCATGCAGACAAATGGCAGGCGTTTGCTGCAGTCGACGTTCTCTCAGTCGCCCGCCCGGCTTGCCCACTCACCTGTCATGCCGACAAACGGAAGACGCTTGCTGCAGTCGACGTTCTCTCAGTCGCCCGCCCGGCTTGCCTACTCACCTATCATGCAGGCAAACGGAGGGCGCTTGCTGCAGTCGACGTTCTCCCAGCGGCTGGCCGGCTTCCTCACTCACCTATCATGCAGGCAAACGGAGGGCGCTTGCTGCAGTCGACGTTCTCCCAGCGGCTGGCCGGCTTCCTCACTCACCCGTCATGCAGACAAACGGAAGGTGCTTGCTGCAGTCGACGTTCTCCCAGCGGCTGGCCGGCCTCCTCACTCACCTATCATGCAGACAAACGGAGGGCGCTTGCTGCAGTCGACGTTCTCCCAGCGGCTGGCCGGCCTCCTCACTCACCCGTCATGCAGACAAACGGAAGGTGCTTGCTGCAGTCGACGTTCTCCCAGCGGCCGGCGAAGAGCCGTGACGCCTGCGTGCAGCTGCCAAAGCGCAAGCTGGGGGTGGCGCTGAACCTCGGGTGCGCCAGGTGAGTGCCGTCCGCCCAGACAAATCCTGCAGTCAGAGACGGATGCTGACGGGCCGCGAGACGACCGGGGTGGTGGTCATAGTCCCGACCCCGTCACCCAGCTCTCTCAGCTCCAGTGCCGAGGTCAACGGCAGTGGCCATCAAGCAACACGTTGGAATACAATGCGCGATGACAAATAATTGTATCAGGGTCCGCATTTGGAACTGCGGTGCTTGATTCATTCGCAAAAGACCCATCTGTCTTTGTTCGCGAGTCATTCCTTTTCGCACCCATGACGCCAAAATTTGGAGTGGTGCCATCCGATCACATCGTTACTAGGTCGTTCGGCCACAAGCCACATCCGCGCCGTCATCAGCGTCCTCCCCCCCCCCCCCCCTCCCGCCAGTGGCTTCTGCTGCCTTATTCAGTCCACCTTCATCCAGCTGGTGGCGCAGTCCGATCCAGGTGGCTTGGTACCGCGTCTGGCCGAGCACCAGTCGGCGTACGGCGCGGAAATCGTCCAGCGTGCTGACGACGGCCAGCTGCTGGCCGAGCCGCTCACACCTGCGCCAGTCGGCGGCGGCCGTCAGCGCCGACACCAGAGGCGGCCGCGGCCGCGCGGAAGGGGCAGCGGGAGGGGGCACCTTCAGATGGCGGTCAGAGCTGCCTTCGCAAGAGACGGCGGTGGGTCCCCTGCGACCAGCGGACGGCAGAGCCCAGCCGCCAGGCAGTGCTGACGCTTGTGCGTACTCACCGCAGCACAGGCGGCTGAGCGGCTCATGCGCTGGGCTCATGAGGGCTGGCCTCCGCTTCACATGAAAGAAACTTCCACTGACGCTGCTTTCCGCGAGAACGTTGTCACACTAATGCCCTGGCCAGTTCCCTGTTGCTAAGAATAACCATGGGTTACCGCTGTCGGCGCCGGCTGCGGGCAGTCAGCAGGAACGCAGCAGCGGCGTGAGCAGGCTCTGCCGGACTGCAGTGCGCCGGGCGCCACCCACCTGTCCTTGGCTTCGTTCCAGACGAGGCCGTCTTTCGGCTCGTCGTAAAGCCGGTAGCAGCGGCTGGTGCCGGCCGCCCACTGCCCGTCGGTCGGACAGCCGTCGTTTCGCGGCGTCTCCGCCTCCCTCTCGGGCGCCCACATGCAGACAAACGAGCGCCGGTCGTCGGAGCAGGACTGGTGGCGCCAGAGGCCGGAGCTGGGTAGCAGCACGGCGCAGGTGCTGCGCACCGCCGCCCTCTGGCCGCTCGGGTCCCAGTTCTGGAACTTGGCAGCCCGCGGCCACGGGTGCATCCACTCCATCGTGCCGTACCGCTGCGGGGAGGGACGGAAGAAGGCTGTATAGGAGCGCATCTGAGTCATACCGGAGCTTTCCATTACCAGCCTTGAAATGGTCAGGCAGAATGTCAGCACGGCCGTATTTGCTGTGTTTACAACCCATCAAACGGCAGCGGTGCGTCATGGCTGCTTCAGGTTGGCCGGTCAGTAAAACCTTATTCTGGTCACAGTTCATTTTTAATTCAACAAGAGTGAGTGTTTGTAGGGGTGGGTTTGGGATCAACAGCTATTACTGTCACATATATCGTGCATTGAAAAAATCCTGTTGCGAAGACCCATAAGTGCACCATTCCCGGAGACCGAGTGCAGCCCAGTACATTATAGGCAAATCCTTGTAATGTGCGGCGCAGTGTGGTGATATGACCGCTTCCGTCGGTGAGCCCGGGTCCCTCGGTCAGCTGTCCACTGATCGTCGGGTGAGAGCCAGATGAGCATGGAATCGGGGACGCGAGCTATCAACCACGCCTGCCGCACGTCAACCAGTGTTCCACACTCCGTCGACCGAGCCGCTGGGACGCATTCTCCATCCAGCCCGGCCAAGGACGTCACTCGAAATCAAACCCACGGAACAATGCAAGCTGGAAGATCCTTACGACCATCCGCAACATCGCTTCACCCCCCCCCCCCCCCCCTTGTGACTATAGTTGAGTTTTTGTCACGACAGCAGTGTGCGGCGGCCAGGCTATCATGCCCACCTCGGTGTCACTGAGCCCCAGCCAGTACTGGTCGCGGCCGTCGCGGTACAGCAGCTTGACCAGCTCGGCGTTGTCGAACGCGTCGCCGACGTACGCCAGGCTGCTGTTGTCGGACTGGCAGCTGACGGCGGCGTCGCTCCACGTCATCGCCTGGTGGCTGATCTGCGAGAGACGAGCCGGTCGACTCAGCGGGAGGTCAGTCCCGGGGGAGGGACGAGTCGGAGGCCGGCGGTGGGGCAGCTGCTGGAGGCCGCTCGCAGTCGGGCCGTTCCACGGATGAAGCCGGCCGTCCGAGAGCCATCGGCCGTTCGCACTCAGACACGGAGCCACGCAGAAAATCTGGGAGGGAGGGGGGGAGACGACCGGCGGCCATGACAAGAAAGGACACTAAACGCGTCTGGCTCACCCAGTCCTGTCGGCAGTTCTTCAGCACCGAGCCCTGCGTCTGTCCCGGTCACCTATTGAAGATCGCTGACCCCAAGCCGGTCCCCCCGCCAGTCGCCGCGCCTCTGACGTCGCAAGCCCTCCGCGGTGCTCGCCTGACCGCGGCACGCGCGGAGGCCCGCTCACAGAGCCGCCCGTGACAGCGGCTGCTCACCTTATAGCAGACGCTGCCCACGTCGATGTAGTTGTCGAAGGGCGGCTGGCAAGGCGTTGGCGCGGCGGTGATCGAGTTGTTGGGCGTGGCGGGCCGCTGGCAGACGAAGCTGTACTGGTGCGAGCACTCGACGTCGCTCCACGCGCCCGGCGTGCGGCTCTGCCCGCCGTCCACCACGCCGCACGTTTTGGGACAGCTGGCGCACTGGGGACACGGTGACGGCGCGGTCAGTGGGCCCGGCCGGTGGCGGGGCTGGGGCGCGCTGTCACAGGCCGGAACGGCCCCCAGCGTGGAGGGCTGACCGAAGCACTGACCGAAGGATCGTCGTTCACCCCGGCCAGATCAACACGCAGTTTACGACGCTGGGAGCGCTGACACATTTCTTTCATGACACCGCTTCTTGCTCCGGCCAGACAGCGGGGCAGCTCGCCGCTCCGTGATAGTGGTGCGCGCCCGGTCAGTGGCCCGCACTCGGACACTTACCACGCTGGATGGCTGGCCCGGAGCCCAGGCGGTGAAGTTCAGGGGAGACTCGTCCGTCCAGGAGAGGAACCGGCGCTGGTCCAGCGTCGCGTACGTCAGCCCGATCCACAGGTTGTTGGGTGAGCCCCTCACAGCCGACGTCAAGAAGGCTGCCGACACACGGAAAACATCAGACAGATATCGTAGCCACTAGCTGGGTTCCACTAGGAACGCAACTGATGACCACGAGGGACCGACCACTGACCCTGCTGAACGGGACTGACCACTGACCCTGCTGGACAGGACTGACCATTGACCCTGCTGGACGGGACTGACCACTGACCCTGCTGGACGAGACTGGCAACCGACCCTGCTGAACGGGACCGACCACTGACCCTGCTGAACGGGACTGATCACTGACCCTGTTGGACAGGACTGACCATTGACCCTGCTGGACGGGACTGACCACTGACCATGCTGGAGGCGACTGACCACTGACTCTGCTGAACGGGACTGACCACCGACCCTGCTGAACGGGACCGACCACTGACCCCGGCTGGACAGGACTGACCATTGACCCTGCTGGACGGGACTGACCACTGACCATGCTGGAGGCGACTGACCACTGACTCTGCTGAACGGGACTGACCACCGACCCTGCTGAACGGGACCGACCACTGACCCTGCTGAACGGGACTGACCACTGACCCTGCTGGACAGGACTGACCATTAACCCTGCTGGACGGGACTGACCACTGACCATGCTGGAGGCGACTGACCACTGACTCTGCTGGACGGGACTGACCACTAACCCTGCTGAACGGGACTGACCGCTGACCCTGCTGAACGGGACTGACCACTGACCCTGCTGAACGGGACTGACCACTGACCCTGCTGAACGGGACTGACCACCAACCCTGTAGGACGGGACTGACCGCTGACTCTGCTGGACGAGACTGACCACTAACCCTGCTGGACGGGACTGACCACTGACCCTGCTGAACGGGACTGACCACTGACCTGCTGGACGGGACTGACCACCGACCCTGTAGGATGGGACTGACCGCTGACTCTGCTGGACGAGACTGACCACTAACCCTGCTGGACGGGACTGACCAATGACCCTGCTGAACGGGACTGACCACTGACCCTGCTGGACGAGACTGACCACCGACCCTGCTGGAGGCGACTGACCACTGACTCTGCTGAACGGGACTGGCCGCAGACCCTGCTGAACGGGACTGACCACTGACCCTGCTGGACGGGACTGACCGCTGGACGGGACCGACCACTGACCCTGCTGGACGGGACTGACCGCCGACCCTGCTGGACGGGACTGACCACCGACCCTGCTGGACGGGACTGACCACCGACCCTGTAGGACGGGACTGACCACTGACCCTGCTGGGCGGGATTGACCACTGACCCTGCTGGACGGGACTGACCACTGACCCTTCTGGACGGGACTGACCACTAGCCCTGCTGGACGGGGCTGATCACTGACCCTGCTGGATGGGGTTGGCGATGTTGAGCAGGTCGGCATCGGGCCCCTGACTGCGGCACACGCGTCGCGCGTCCTCCCAGGTCGACAGGTTCTGGTACACCCGCAGGCAGCGGTCCGGGCCGTAGGCGGACCAGTCGGGGGGACAGCTCGAGCGCAGCAGCGGCGGCGGCGGCGGCGGCAGCGCCGGTGCACCGCCCATCATTGGCCGCTCGCACACGTAGTGGTGCGGCGCGTTGCAGTTGACGGTCGACCAGTAGCCGCCGCTGCTGTCCAGCCTTACACAGCTGGCCATGTCTGCCGGTCAGAGTAAGGGGAGGCTCAGCAAACGACGCGCGGTTGTCCACACGTGCAACGATGGCTCAAGACCATAGAGACAGACAGCCTGCCGCCTGTTTGTGGGAGTCTGCTGCGTGCAGCAAAGACTAGCCTGCTCAGCGCCCTCTGCGGCGGCAACATAGAAGGCAGCATCGGCAGCAGGTGTTGCTGGGTTTTCAGTTCTGTTGCCGCAAGAGGCAGGTCTGATTACATTTTCGCAGAAACGAGAGCGTTCTGCTGGTAATAAGTCACGCGACAAGATTCTATATCAGGAGAAAGCTTCGCAAGCTTCTCAGAAGAAGGCTTCGTAAGCTTCTCAGAAAAGAGCTTCGCAGTTGTTCAGATATAACATTTGAACACCCCAAAAGGACTACGGTCGACGGGATTCTAGTCCTAATTCAGCTTAACTATGAACTCATCTGAGCCGTCCTCAGCCAGGCCGGGAATGAGAGGCTCCTGCACAGACCTTGGCCGACGGCGCGTCCGTCTGACGCCCAGTTGGAGTACTGGACGCCAGATCCATCAGTCCAGCGGAACTCGTGCGACGGCCGCAGCCGGTTCAAGCCGATCCACACCGGTTGCGGGACACCTCCCAGCTGTCGACACGGAGGGAGTGCTCAGTCCGCCCCCGAGCTCAGCCAGCGGGATGGGAGAGAGTGGGGGGGGGGGGGGGGGGGGGGGCTGACGGGCGGCCGGGAGTTGACCGGGGAGGTGCTCGGGAACGATGGGATACAGGACGCGGGGCGTTCGTCCAGCGCTGGCCCCTGCGCTGGACGGTCGCTGGCGTCGAGACGACAGTGTAGTGTTTACCGCGCGACACTCGGTGCTGTCAGTCCGGGTGTAGTGTAGGGCAGCTGACACTCGGCGGTGTTGGTCCGGGTGTGGTGTCGGGTGGCCGGCATTCGGCGGTATCGGGCCGGGTATAGTGTAGGGCAGCTGACACTCGGCGGTGTCGGGCCGGGTGTAGTGTAGGGCAGCTGACACTCGGCGGTGTTGGTCCGGGTGTAGTGTAGGGCAGCTGATACTCGGCGGTGTTTGCCCGGGTGTAGTGTAGGGCAGCTGACACTCGGCGGTGTTGGTCCGGGTGTAGAGTCGGGGGGCCGGCACTCGGTGGTGCCGGGCCGGGTGTAGTGTAGGGCAGCTGACACTCGGTGGTGCCGGGCCGGGTGTAGTGTCGGGTGGCCGGCACTCGGCGGTGTCGGGCCGGGTGTAGTGTAGGGCAGCTGACACTCGGCGGTGTCGGGCCGGGTGTGGAGTCGGACAACCAACCCGAGGATGACCAAAGGTCGAGGCAACATGCTTTGAAGCGCTGTCTTTTAGTTGTTATAGCTGGAGTGATTGGGGCTTTGCGAGAGCCCTTCAGACCGCTGACCACCAAGCGATGTCAGTCAGTCACAGAACTCACGTGCTGGACCACAGCGTCATTGAGCTCGAAGCTGGTGATCTTGGCGAGCGTGGCAGAGCGGTTGCGGCAGTCCTGCTGGGCGCGGTGCCAGCTGACTGGCGGGGTGTCGCTGACGACCAGGTAGCAGGTGGCGCCCGAGTGCCACCACCCGTCGGCACCACAGGCCAGCGCTGCATGACAGGCGGCGGCGCACCGGGTCAGACATCACCGGCGCGCACAACGGCCATCGATGGTGCGGCCCACAGGTGGGGCACCTCAAGGCGCTGAGCAAGGGCGGATCAAAGCCAGGCTCTGCCGACCTGTGCTGGCCACAGCGCCCGCACGGCATGGTCACGGCGGACAGCGGGGCGCGAGCGGCGCTGCCGCTCCCTGTGCAGGTTTACCCGACGAGTGCAGCTAATCACGGTGCAGTGTGGAGGCTGACCTGCCGTATCTACGGTGGGAGATACGGGCCGCGACGTCGCCGTCAAGGACCGGGTGCAGGCGAAGGGCTTGACTGATGCGCAGCTCTCCGACGACCAGCCACCCTGCGGAGAGCGGGCCCACACGGCGCTAGGGTCGGAGTCTGTCGCCCGACCAGCCGCATCCGCTGGCGCGACATCCGTGGGTGCGACTGACATTGGCGGCCTTGGGAACGCCGGCCGATAAATAATGCATTTAAAATGTTCTATGTTCCAGTGAATACCATTCACGCTATGATCTCTCAAGGCGGCAACACAGTCGGCCGATGGAAGCACGCAGTAGTCGAGACTTGAGCTCCTACCATGAGAAAAGTGCGCAACTGATCGCTATTCCCTTGTCGTGCCTTCCTGGATGCCGCTCATCCAGCAGGAGTCGAGCTCCGACCCCGTCCCCTCTCGCCCCCGGGCGGGCCTGCCCTCTGAGCCGGCGGACGCGCTGCTCGTACCGTGCGCAGGTTGAGTGTGGCGCAGTTGGTAGATTGGGACGGCTGGCCGGCGGTCCAGGCTGCGAAGCCGGGCGTCGTGCCGTCCTCGCGGCGGAAGGGACTCCGGGATGAGTCGCGCCGCAGGCCCAGCCAGACGGAGCCCGAGTTGTAGCCGTACTGACCGCTGCCGGAGCAGGCGCGGCTCAGTCAGCGGCCGCGATCGACAGACACGCCAGGTGACGTCGCCTATCGGCCCCCTGGGGCTCGGTGGGCGCCGCCTGTTGGCTTGCTGGGGCTCGGTGGGCGCCGCCTGTTGGCTCGCTGGGGCTCGGTGGGCGCCGCCTGTTGGCCCGCTGGGCCTCAGATGACGCGGCGATGAGGTCGTCGATAGAAGCACGCCAAATGAAAAGGTTTTACCAGCTTAAGGGAGATACGCGATTGACTGATCGTGCGGCACCTATTCTAGCGTCAGGTCGAAAGAAGCATTAGTTGGAGTTGCTTTGGTGTACATGTGATCAGAGATTTCGGATCAACCCAGACCAACCCACGATCAGTAGTTTCTTTTCAGCTGACGGAGGGACCTCAGATCCCTCCCCGGCCCCCCAATGGGTGGGCCAAATCAGGAAGAAGCCCTTTTTTGGCGTATTTTGAAGGTGGGCGGCCCCACAACCCCCTCTCATTTTGTGAAACTACGCCCTGGACCCAGGAGTTACCTATACTCACAGAAATGCGTTCTGATCATCCATGCTTGCAAAGGAGCTTAGATGCCCTCCTTGCTGCACACAGAATGCCTCGGCCGCGTCTCGGTTCTTTGGCTCAAGGAACAGCTGAAAGGCGTCGGGAGCGTTAGTAAATTATCCTTAATGAATACTACGGCATGACAATCGACTAGAAGCATGATGTTCGTTCGATTGGCTTGACAGGACGAGGCTGTCGAGGCAACACTTAAATATGTCCCAGTGCATTAAAGATGGCTTGAATCAACCTCAATGTAACGTGTTTTGACATAACTCCTTTCAAGGCACATAGGCGTTCGTTTAGAACCATAAAGCACGTGGCAACACGCACTTCACCATCCGACACGGAGCTGTGTCCACAGGTGACGACATGTCACAGGGGTTGGCGCGCGGAGCCAGCCGGTCCGTCGACGGCCTGGCCGACCGGCCGGCGCGCGGAGCCAGCCGGTCCGTCGGCGGTCTGACCGGCCGGCCGGCGCGCGGAGCCAGCCGGTCCGTCGGCGGTCTGACTGACGGGCCGGCGCGCGGAGCCAGCCGGTCCGTCGGCGGTCTGGCCGACCGGCCGGCGCGCTCAGCGTACGTGATGGCACCTGCCGCCGGCTGAAGCCCAGTTATCGCCGCGACAGGCGGGCGTGGTGGTGGCGGCAGAGCTCGGCGGCCCGACCGGCCCGGCCGGCAGCGTGACGCCGCCCGAACTCTGTGTCGACGTGGTCAGGGGGGTTGTCGTCGTCGGCGGCGGGATGGGCGTGGCCGTGGCGAGGTGCTCCGAGTACACGCCCTTCTCTTCGGTCATGGACGCGTTCATCTGGTGCGCCAGCTCCGCTTCGATGCGGGCCGCGTGCTGGGCGTACCACGAGTAGCTCGGCCGCTGCCGGTCTGGCGTCACCTGGCCGCGAGAGGGTGCCGTTGGCCTCCCAGCGGGTGCGAGCGCTCAGCGGTTCCGCGTCAGAGATGTGACGTCACAGACCTGCTCCTTCAGCCGGACAGCGCACAACACTGTGTTTTGGCTCTGGCAAGCGGGAAAAAGCACACGCCGACCAGTGGAGTCGGGACATCCTAACGGAACGAAGGGCAGTTCGGGTAGCTCGACACACCGCAGAGTTGTACTCTTCACTGACCAGGACGACGTGGACGCGGTCCACCTCGCGCTCGCAGACGTAGGTCATGGAGTTGTCGCAGGCGGACCAGTAAAACAGGCCGTCTTCCGAGGAGAGATACGCACATTGGCGGGGGCCGTTGGTACCTGGAAGATCGCACAGTTGTTCGAGTTGCCCCACGAACCAGTCGAAGTGTTTTTCTTGTCATCTCCAAGAGAGTGCCCGTCGTTGAATAAAAGAGAATACCTGTCGGCTGTCAAAGACAACTAAGACCAGTAAGACACCTTGTGCGGCACTGGACAGACGAACATCCGTGATGTCAGCTGTTTATTCACCGACAAGGTTTATTTTCAACCAAAATAAGTCATATGACGAGGAATCTCCACATCATCGAAATATTGCCGGCCAGTTTCGGGCGGACGCGCTGGTGGCCTGTTGAGTGCGACATGCTCGGTTGGCGGGGCTAATGTCATGCCTTGATATATAGAAATCTAAGAGAGCTAGAGTCACAGGACAGGCAGACCTGTGCATAAACTGTCTTGAGCAAATTTTGAGCTCCCTAGGCCGTGACTTTTGTCTCCAATTAGCCCAAACGAGGTCAAATTCCAGATCGGTGTCTGAAGGGCCGTCGTACCTCATGCAGCCAACTGCGGCCTAGATACCTGTTCTGAGCAAAAAGTCAAAGGTGTTAATTTCAGGTCGGTGACCTTAGTTGAGCTTCCGAAGGCCATGATGATTTGATTATACTGGATGCTATGGTGCTAAAAAACAAAAGGTTGATCGGGGTTGCTTTGGGTGGGTGATTTCTGACCTTCATTAAGTCCGCAATAACATTTCTGTTGACGTCCCCGTGATCAATAAATTTGAAATAAACGTCAAAACTAGTCCGCGAGGCAAGCTCACCAGTAAAAGAGCAGCTTGGTTTTGACCTCGGCTTGACCGGGGTCAAACTGTGTCGTCAATTCGCCATACTTGACACAGGGTCAATGGATTACTTGCGATGCTAAATTTAACTGCACTTGTGTTAAATAAGCTATCTCAAACATGTATGGTTTGGACTAGCACTGCGTTGTTGCATCAGATTGAACGATTCCCTAGACAGTGCCTTGCCTGACAGTTATGGCCTGACTTATTATTACGTTATTCACGTGTATGCGCTAGAGAGTATTCTAATATTTAGAAAAGACGCCATCTGTCTTTGGAACTTGTATTTGACATTGAACCCTCATCTTGGAGGGTTCCAACTGCTAAACAGACGCAAGTTTAAGCGCTGAAAAAATTGATAGCTCACTTTTGGGTGATGAGCTTCTCGTCTGAGCTCGGGTGCGGTTCAATTTCATCTAACCCCAAAGAGTTTTTCCAGAGGCATTTCCAGACGGCGTACCGTAGCCGCGCCAAACTTCGAATAGCTGGAGGGATTTGAATAAGGGATCTTTTGGCATAAAACATCGATATACCTTGTAGGGTCGCTGACCTAACTGGTTGGTCAAAGTCAGGCCCCGGTTGTCATTGAATACCAGTTCTAACCTATCGTTTACTGTGATCCAACAACGGAGCGTTAGACGAAGTTATACATATCTGAGATGGTATGTTAAGCAATGAACCGATCAAGCCTATAATTATAATAAATGTTATTGACCTAGGGTCAATGGAATTGGCGTGAAAGGCATAAAGAACAGACCGAGGTTAAAACTAGCCTGCTTTTTCACTCTAGAGACTGTTCGGTGAGGCAGTTTCCGGCGCTCATTTTGAATATGGACTTTTTAAATGTCAGATTTGGTCACTGATCTAAACTGACTAAGGCCAAGATATTGTTTTATAAACATACCACCTAGCGTAATCACTGACGTTTATATAAATGACAAAATAGGAGCAATCTTGTAGTATTTTGACACCTTGTCCTTCCAAAAAGTCAAACAAGGTCACTGACCTTAATTAACACCATTTACCTTTTGTTTGGAATAGGTACCTAGGTTCACAGAAGTTGTACGCGGAGTTCTGGGGTACTTGAAGCGCCAACCTAGAGTTTGACTTTGTTTGACCTTATTCGACCCCAAAACCTAGGATCTCAAATTTTGCACACGTGGATTCACGTACAGGCCATGCATCCGTGAATTTGGTATATCTAGCTATCTTAGTTTTTGAGACATCAGAGTGGATCAAATCGGCCCCCACCCGAGCAAAAGGCATTCAACCGGCCACTCGGGCGCGTGTTAAACTTGACTTTGACTTTGAAGCTTGATCTTGAGAGGTCAGAACTTGTCAAAGGACGCCATCGTATGTGTTGAAAAACTTGTATGAAAAACCGGAATAGGCCGGTAGCGCTTGGGTGATGTGAGGATCCATGCCATTTTATCTCGAATTTGACTTTCAAAGTCGCGAATGTCGATAAACAGCCATCAGTTTGTTGTTGCTCCAGGATTGACCATACCAAGCGATTCCATTGAAAACGCAGTTTGCCATTAAATAAAACGGAACTTCACGAACGTACAAAACAGGCGATGGAATAGATGACAATCGGATGTGTATTATTCTCAAAGAGCTGAGGGGACGGGGACGAGGTCGTAACCGACAAGGTTGAACTAGCCTACCCTAAAACCTCATTTCTCCCAGCATTTCCGCCTCTGTTAGTTGCGTGCCGCGATCTCTAAGAAATATTGCTAGGCGTTGATTCAAAAATAATTTTGCCGCGGAGGAAGTACAGCATTGCATTTTAAAATGGTATTTGCCTTTACCTAGCACATTGCGATTTACTTGCATCTGCATGCTCATTAAAAGCCGATGTAAAGTTGGAGCCGCGTGAGCGCCCCGCCATGAGCTGGAATCCATAGCAAAGTATATCAGTAACACGGCCTGAGATGATTTACGAAATGGAGCTTCCTCGTCGCTGATCGAATACGGCCCGAGACGCAAAAATTGAATTTTATTTAGAATGGTGTGGCTTGACACCTACAGATGGGAGGCTATGAAAATCGTTTTGTGTACATTGATATAAGGCACCAGTGTCTAAGATTGCAGCTGAATTCGCGTAACCTTAGCAGCTAAGTCAATATCTGTTTTTAAAAAAAAAACCAACGCGAGCAGTGATTTGCCGCGAGTTGGAAGTGTTTTTCCTGGAGCCGGACTTGTTGGGAATAGGAAGGTCACGTTCAGTAAAATGCAAAGCAAGCTTCAGCACGTGTGCCTTCAAAATTACCAGCGCTGCGGGCCGTCGAGTACCTCATGTGCTACACATTGTCAGAGCCCAAAATTTGCCATGGAAGCAGGACCGGACAGCTCACCCATAGCACGGTTTAGTTCTTTCTTCATACTCGTCTTTACACTCTCGCTCATCTGTAAAGCTCTGTTCCCCAGACTCACAATTACGCACAATGCACATCACATACCACATTAATTCACTTTTTCCAAATGTCATCTAGGACAGGCTTGGCATTAACATATGAAGTTGAACAAAATGCTTTATGCCCATGCATTGAGCGCACCGGCACGGAGACGGACGGTGACAGGTGGAAACAATGGACCTAAAAATTGTTTTCGTCGCCACAGAATTATAATACATTCCTTTAGCTTAAGACGGAAATATTAATTTCAAAAAGCCCCCCGGCCGTTCCACACCGCGAAACATACCTATTGCAATCTTGTCCTCCGCGTAGTTGTCGAAGGAGATATTTCTTGAAGTCACGTTGCCGGCTCCTGAGGTTATCTGTATGCCAATCCACCATTCAGTCGGACGGATGGCTGAAACGATGAGACATTTCTATTTACCTGTTCCTGAGGTATTTCGCTGCTTTCCAACACCGTTCGCACGTCTTTACTCGGTTTTAAGCCTTTCGGTCGCTCGGTCTTTCTCTGTCTCTGTGTCTCTGTCTCTGTGCCTCTCTTGCTCTGTGCCTCTCTTGCTCTGTGTCACTGTGTCACTGTGTCTCTGCGTCGCTGTTCCTCCGTGTCTGCCTGTCTGTCTGTCTGTCTGTCTGTCTGTCTGTCTGTCTGTCTGTCTGTCTGTCTGTCTGTCTGTCTGTCTGCCTGTCTGTCTGTCTCCCAAACACACATCACCGGCCCACCAGCAACTTCTTATGCGTGCTATGCTCTTACAACGAACCCACCAACAGGCTTTTCGTGCAATGCCGGTCTCAGCGCTGTGCTCGTTAACCTGTAACCAATGAGGTCTATCCGAGGTGCTGTTATTGCTAGTTGAAAACTTTACCCATCAACAGGCTTTTCGTGCAATGCCGGTCTCAGCGCTGTGCTCGTAAAGTTTCAACGAGTGGAAAACGAAACCAACACAGGAAGGTATTCTGCCCTACTATTAGATTAGACAAAGGCATGCTGCATTTTTCTTGTCTGAATGACCACTGTGGCAGTGGTACCTGTCGTGCTACATCAAGGTCCGTGCATATGCTTGGGACACTTCCCAGTCAAATTGTCGATAAGCTTGTCGATGCACAGCTTAGACGCCTGGCTCTGTCGCCACGAGCTCCGAATCCATGAGAGAGTACCATCGAATCCCATGCACTGTACATCTTCTTCGTCGAGTCTGGATATGCGTCCTTCACAGACTGCTACACACCTCGGGACACCTTCACAGACGGCCGTGCACCTCGGAACACCTTCACAGACTGCCGCACACCTCGGGACACCTCTTTCACAGACTGCCGCACGCCTCGGGACACCTCCTTCACAGACTGCCGCACGCCTCGGGACACCTCCTTCACAGACTGCCGCGCGCCTCGGGACACCTCCTTCACAGACTGCCGCACGCCTCGGGACACCTCCTTCACAGACGGCCGCGCACCTCGGGACACCTTCACAGACGGCGCTATCGGTACGGCGGCCTTGCTCTCCGGCCTCCTGCTCGCTCCTCAGCGCCGCCTGGTGCTTCCGTCGGTCCGGGGAGGTCTGCGCGGCGCGGCGCGGCCGGGTCGCCGGGTCGCCGACTCACCGCTGGCCGGGGACGCCTCGGGCGCCGGCTCGGCATCAGTGAGGGCCGTGGACAGGCTGGAGTACGTCGGCCGGTCGGGGACAAGCAGCAGGCGCGCAGGCGGCCGCCGCACGCGGCTGGAGCGGCGCAGGCTGACCGCCGGCGCCGGCACCTGCAGCGGCTGACCTGGCCGAGGGGCCAGAGCGCCGCGTGACTTCATCGGCGTGTCGGACGCGACGCCGCGGCAGCCGAGCTCGCGGCCGGGATGGGCGGGCGCGGTGCAGTACAGCAGCATGGCTTCCAGCGTCGCGACGATCATGGTGCGGTAGAGGAATTCAGACCCCCCCCCCCCCCCCCCAATATACACGCAACCAAATCCGCCGTCACCCCACTCTGCCGCCATCCTGTCATGCCTGTTGGAACGCACTGGACACAGCGCCGAGCTACGCGGAAAGTGATTACCTGTCAGCTTGCTTCGCCACACATTGCACGCGACACGGTGCCCTTCCAACGCCAAACTGGCGACAGCCTCACCCGGCAGGACGATACGTGAGAAATTGATCCTCGGAAATACCTCTCTCCTCATAACGAGCTCTCACGGCACCATTAGATAACCAGCTTTCTAGAAGGACGCCCTTCCAGTATCCCATGCAGTCGAGCACCCAATGACCCGTGAGGAGCCCGCATCTCTATAAAACGCACTCCTACAGAGCAGATCGCTCCCAGCCCGCGCGTGTAGCCATTCCGACAGCGCAGTCCATCTTTACGTCGAACGAAGCACCGCGTGGACTACAGACGCATCGTGCGCGGATAGAGGTCCGTTCGTCCGAGAATGACAATCGACAACAGATCGAGCGCCGTTTCTGCTAGACTGCAAACCAAACGCAAACGAAAAGAATGTTACGGACAGTCAAACGCGATGTTCGATGCGCACAGACGTGTGCAGTTGGTACACTCAAGTGGTACGTCCGTTGGATATCACGAAGGGCTTTTGATATACGTAGGCACACGTTGTTGTGCCGGACCATTTGGAGAGCGAAAGACACTCAGGTTTGTGCAGACGCCGATTGGTGAGGTGCTCTGGTAACTAACGAGCCGCCCGCTCACCAGTCCCAATCAAACTGCTAGCCTTGCTGGGCTCGGCCTCTTGCTCGTCACCTGTAGACTGACGGCTGACGTGGACTGACGTGGACTGACGGCTGACGTAGACTGACGTGGACTGACGTGGACTGACGGGTGACGTGGACTGACGTGGACTGACGTGGACTGACGTGGACTGACGGCTGACGTGGAACTGACGTGGACTGACGTGGACTGACGGCTGACGTAGCCTGACGTGGACTGACGGGTGGCGTGGACTGGCGTGGCTGACGGCTGACGTGGACTGACGTGGACTGACGTGGACTGACGGCTGGCGTAGCCTGACGTCGACTGACGGGTGGCGTGAACTGACGTGGACTGACGGCTGACGTGGACTGACGTGGACTGACGTGGACTGACAGCTGACGTAGCCTGACGTGGACTGACGGCTGACGTGGACTGACGTGGACTGACGGGTGATGTGGACTGACGTGGACTGACGGGTGACGTGGACTGACGTGGACTGACGGCTGACGTGGACTGACGTGGACTGACGTGGACTGACGGCTGACGTGGACTGACGTGGACTGACGGGCCGGCAATATTTTCGCCCTTCACGCGCGTCGGTTAGATTTACCTGAGGGCCAGTTTGCTTGGTGCTTAGGCAACTATACTGCAGACCAATTGCAAACTAAATTTCGTCAGGGTCCAATGATCTCTTTGATACCATAGCTGTACACGCCTTGGAGCAAGAAGCGCCGAGTTTCGGGAAAGCAAACTCTTGGAAATCGCCTTTGTAATTGACAGTGCCTGAAGGTGGAGTGACGCCGCAATTTTTGTGATATTTACAAGCGCCGTGCCGTATACGCTGTGCACCGTACCTTCCGATTCCAACTCCCCAGCCGACGGCGTTCGGTAAAAGACGACTTCATTGTGGTTTTGCATGATCGCTTGTTTTGCAGTTTGCAGTTCGTACTAGATGCAGCTTAAAGCGCAAAGTATCACCTTTAACTCGTCGCCCACTTCATCTAAGTTCCAAGAGAGGTCAACACCGGACAACTAAATATGCCGTGATTTTAAGTGGCTGTGGTACAGTCTCTGGGTTATCTCCCTAAGCCAAAGTGATAGCTTAGACAGGTGAACTAAGCCGCTGTGTAACTGCACGCTTTGCCAGCTGCCTGACCAGTTATTGACACAGAGTCATGGTAACGTCCGAGAAGAGCGTGCTCAGGTGCGAGCGCCGCAGACCATAGCGTCACCGCTGTGTCAATGGTTCACCGACTGACCTCTCAGCAGATCGACGACGTCCAGCAGTTTGCTGCGGGTTGTTGATGGTGGCGAGGGCGCCGCCATGCTCCTGTCGAAAGTCGTTCCAACACAACCGTCAGCCATTTAGAGACGACCGCTGTGTTATGCGGGCATCAAGCCCCGCGCAAAGCAGCTGACGTGCATCCTGTGACGACCAGCCGGTGTGTGCCGTGTTCGCGCAAGCGCACATAGGTCAGTTTCATTTTTCGTGTGGGCTCGATGATTGCATGTGTGTAGCTAGCATAGTAAGACTGTACAATAATGCAATCACCACTAAATGTGCTCGTATGGACGGTACCAGTATGCAAGAAGAAAAGAAGACGGTGGTCTTCATGTAAAAGGGAGAGAAACACGGCGTGATAGTAACAAAACACACAGACGTTAACCAAATGCACAGAGACATGCACCACACGTGACTTCGCCCGCAGAAGGCAGGTCACTCTGGTCTGACACGCCAGGGGGGAGGAACTCCAGCCCTCTAAACAGCGATGTTGCCTAGAGGAGGACCTCCAGCCCTCTTAAGAACAAAGTTCCTCAGACGAGGAACCACAAAACAGCGGCATTACCGAAACGAGGAGCCAAAGCCCTCCAAACAAAGTCACTCCCGCCACGAAACATGGGGCCAAAGGGCAGAGCTTGGCCAGCCCCACACCAGACCCCGCCGTCCCGAGGGTCCGGCGGCGAGGACGGCACACCTCACCAACCTGGCAGAGGGCGTTGGCTCCGGCCCAGCTCATCGAACTGGAGGAGTTGCTGAGGTAACACCAGGAGCCACTCTGACGCCAGTCGGCAGGACACGGCGAGCCTGCCGGGAAGGTGGGTCAGTGAGGCGACTGGAACGTCATCTATAGGCGGCAGCGCCCCACGAAGCCGTGTGTATAGCGCCACCTGTCGACCAACTCAGCCTCCCGAGAGTGTGATTGATCAGTGATTAGCGTGTATGGGTGCGTCCAATGCGTTGCCATTTCGCGCCTAGCGCCACCTATTGGTGAGGGAAACTGAGGTCATGCGCACAGCACCATCTATCGGGGTGCCTGGAACCTGAATGCTGAGAACGCTGTGCACAGATGTAGTGCAACAATGAACGATGTATCGCAGCACCGGCCGGTGACCGGTTTGTGATCTTCACATCTAGGCCAGTGCGAAGTAACAAAACACCGGGCAGAATGAATCTCAAGGAATGAATCTTCCGACCCGACTGCGATTTCGCCTGGGTATTAAAGGGTGAATCCAGGGGAGCAGTCGTGCTATGCTTCCCCCCCCCCCCCCCCCCTGCAAGATGGTCAAATCCGGTCAAAAACAACACATTTCGGGACTTTGCAGAAAATCTCAGCAAATTTTGCCAACAAAAGATTGTGAAAATATGCTCACAGAGAGACAAAAGAAAGCGACGCTCGCTCGGTTGTTTTTTAAAACCAGGACACTTTTTTGGCTTTTCCCCACCAAGCCGGCAATGTCTCCGTGTCCCAAGGTGGCGTTCTGGATCCGTCCTTTTGCGTAACTGTCTGCAAGTTCGACTTTCATGTGAAAAAACGGATGACATTGAGTTGCAGGCGATGTTTTCAACAATCCGCTTCAGTTGAGAGGCCATCTGGCTGGCGAGGCTGAGCACTTATGAGCTTCGACCAGTGCGTCACGGTTTATAAACACGGAGACAGCACCAGCCGTTCGATGCAGAGCCATCCCGAAGTAGGGCTTGCGCCTCGGCGTGGCCTGTGTCGCTCTCAGCAGCATGGCAGCGTACTGTTCCAGCTTACTTTCCTAACATCTGGGATAGTTTTTGCAACATCTCTGTTTTGCCTACTTGGTGAGTGCCTTTCTAGTGTTTATAGCACATCTTGAGCGCTGACCTCTATTTCAGTGCATATGTTTCAACCAAGTAGGCAGAATAGGCGGACATTTGACCCATCTCATTCCATAACATCGGCTGTCATTCAAGTCAGCGCATAGGATTCAAGACGAAAATAAAATCGTCGAGCTGACTTGCACATACCCCACTATATGGTTGAGGCCCACGTCCATTATTGCACCGTCACTGCACTGCACTGCACCGACGCCCATTACTACACCGGTCTTTGCTGCACGTTACTGCACCGTTTGTTATTTATGCCCAGCACTGAACCACTGAAAGATCACCATTCGGCTCTCGAGGGCAGTGCTGACACGGGGGGACCAGGGCGAGGACGCCAGAGCGCAGGCGGCCGGTGGTGAGCAAAGGTCACCGTCTGTTTACAGTGGCCGTCGTGCCTCCGCGGTCCCCGGTCTCCGCGGTCGCCAGCCTCCGCGGCTAACACGCAGCAGCCTGCATCCCCGAGCGAGGGGCCCGCCCGTCCGACGGGCGTGTTTGGTGGAATCAGGGGTCTCGTGTAACGACTGGACATCTGAAAATCCCGTCAAGAAAGGGGGCCCCCCTGTTTTCCATCCGCAAACTCCATTCCTTCCTTTGGTTACATCGCGTACATCCGTACGCAAACTGCCTCTGGTCACATCGCATACATCCGTACGCAAACTGCCTCTGGTCACATCGCGTACATCCGTAGGCAAACTTCCACTGGTCACCTTGCGTACTTTCGTAAGCAAACTTCCTCTGGTCACATCACGTACTTTCGTACGCAAGCTTCCTCTGGTCACATCGCGTACATCCGTACGTAAACTTCCCCTGGTCACCTCGCGTACTTTCGTACGCAAGCTTCCTCTGGTCACATCGCGTACATCTGCGTACCGCATCCTGAAAATGCAGAAGCTGCAAAGGTAATGGCTAATTTATATACGTGGCAGTTGCGGATCCCATCACATTTTTTGTTGTTTTTGCATTCAAAATGTGTTGGGAAGATTTTACTAGCAGGGTGTGACTCACCCTGTAAATTGGGGAAGAGACAAGGGTACGCGGTGCATATCAACGAAACGGGTATCAAAACGGGCCGAAAGTCGAAAAGAGCTTTTCACATAGTCATCATCCAGTCATTCCACCCTTTCTATCGCCCCACAGCCCGCTCAATCCAGCCACATCAGCAACCATGTACAATGCATAGCTCTCATTTTCTGAGGTCCCTTGATGTCCCTTAGAGATGTTTCCATTTAATTCTCACCTGAGCAGAACCTCGCGTACTTCTCAGTGTAGGTCACGAGCACTGGCGACCGAAAACCAGTGACCAAGAGCAATTCCGGACGATATATCCCGCTTACATCCGGGCAAACATGCACCATTTTAGGCACGTTAGACCAGTGGTGGGGCATCGAAAATTTCGGAAAGCGCGGCAAACATATTCCAACAGACCTCTCGTTCTCTCACGGTCCTTTGCAACTCAATGACCCCACTCATCCATATCATGAATTTGTGGCTCGGGAAAGGTGTCCTGATGAGCCGCCCTGGGCTCTCTCATTTGGTCCCGACGAGCCGCCCTAGGCCGTCTCAGTTGGTCCTGATGAGCCGTTCTGAGCCGTCTCAGATGACCCTCAGATGACTGCGCGTGGGTCGCATGTCTAGGCCAAGCTAAAGTACTGGGAGTTTTAAGATTTCGTCACCCATTACCAAAATCGTCTTGGAAGATTACGACGGTAATGGTAGTCAGATGCGACATGAAGTAAAATCACTGGTGCTGTTTTTTTCACTGCTTGATGATGACATACATGACACACATCTATGTCTATTCCGCTTACAGACCAATCTAACCTGTCCAAAATTTTGAACAGACTCGGGCTGACACACCAGCTTTTCTTTACTTGCAGAAGCTGCAATTCTCGTTGGCTATTTTAGTCAGTTACCAAGCATGAAACATTTTCCCATTGAACATTACTCAGGTCACGTCAGTTTTTTTCTTCTAGTTTTCAACGCTCTGAATCACCAGTCCGCAAAAATATTTTGTTTTATATTTTGAGAGATCTCGAAAACAAAACCATCCTGTTCTTATCACACGTCATGTGGTCCTCTTCACCGCGTAAGCTGTTCTGGTGGCGGATCGACTGAAGTGCTTACAAGAGCTTTGTCGACTGCTTGCCGGTCCCGGGACGACACCGCTGGTCGCGCTCTTGACGCACTTGACGCACTTGACGCAACGAAACATATCATAAAATCTTATTCGTGGGGTAAAATGTTAAAATGCATCCTGGACCCCACGGTCTCTTTTTTGGCAAAAATTGGGTGTGAAACCTGAATGCTAGATAGTCTAAGTGGCAGTCATTAGATCCCACAACAGCTGCATGGTCCTTGTTTGTATTGGACTGTAAATATAGACCCTTGGCAGTTTTGTGGTCCTTGGTTCTCTTGCGTCCCTTGACTATTCTCGGGATCTATGAGAGTTGAGGGAACCTTGCCTGTTGCAGGCTTTTCATTGTGAAAGGTCTCCCTCAACTGCACCTTTCGGCCGTATTAGCTCGGAGACGCCTGACAGTTCCAAGATTTGTAGCGTTTAGATTTGTTTTTCAGTCTAGTGTAGTGTTTGTGGTGTCTAAACCCCATTGATCGTTTTGAGATCAATGACTGTCCGGTCTCATTAGGCTTTCTTCATGTTCTTTGTGTGATGTCCCCGGGGGAAGTCTTGAGGTCCTCGGCTATCATGGTGATCCTTGACCTCTCGGAAGGTTGGTTCGGATAGTTTGGAAGGTTGGTTCGGATAGTTCGGACCATACAACACATGAGGGTTTTCCTCTCCTCGTAGTTCCTTCAAATTCTTAAGCTCTTGGCCATCCCGTAGTCCTTTGATGTTTTAGGGTCCCCAACAGCTTACGTATGTCTTGAATCGGAGTAGACCTTCAACGTCAGAGCACCACAACCTTTTCCGCAACTCAACCTGCGTTTGTCCGCCGATCCTTGAGCTCCTTACTCGAATCGGACTTCCATTTTCTAGAGGTCCTGCACTACGTCGGCGAACTCCTTCCCTTTGGCCCCTTGGCCGTTTGAGGGACCAGGTTGTCTTGGGTTTCCTTGGCTGTCTCGGGGCCTCTGGACTGCAAAAACTAGTTCCAGAGCTCACCTTTGTTTCTATGCTCTGTTTAGCCCTGGGTTTTGACATGCGTTGGAAACCATTGGCCATGCTCTCGCTCTCGACTGTCTTGGGTCCTGCTGACTGTCTAGTTTCTTGGGAATTTTAGGCACCTTTTGCGTTTAGCGCTCATTGACCGTTTCAGGACCTTCTGGTGTCCTGAGGCCGTGACCTATTTTTACTCTCATTATTACGGGACTCTGAACTTTGCCTGGGTCTTTGAGCGTCCCGGGACTCTTCACATCTTCGAGCGGTCCGTTGTCGCTAGAAACGGCTGTTTGGCTGATGGCCCCTTGACCATTCCCATGCATTCGCTCATACTGGCGCTCCTTGATCAGCTTGATGCACCAACAAGTTCTTGGGGCCTCCTCACGTTGTATTGCGATTTCTCTGTTTTGGGCACTTGTGCCTGTTTGAGATCCGTGACCATGGCATCCTTGTAACACATCGGAGACCTTGACAGCTTGAGTAAACACTGCCTTTCTCGGACCCTTTTGACCGCCCCAAAGCCTTCATCCGGGTAGAAGGCCCCTCATGGCATCCAGTGAACCTTCCAAGACCCGGAGGTGCTGTCCGAAGCCATGTAGCTGTGTCAGGATTTTTGACTGCAAAGGGACCGTTGACATCCTGAGCGCCTTTCGACTCTTTTGAACTCTGTTGAGCCCAGACCCCGGAGACTTTGACTTTGATCCCCAATGGTCCGAAGGACACTCTGAGCCCTTTTTCGGTCTCTTCCAAAAGCTTCCAGAAAAGCTTGCCTCTAGATGTGAGGGATCACTTGGAGCCTGTCTCTGCACCCGTGTCCCTGGATGTGCCGCCACTGCCTCGGACATTAGCACACGCACGCACGCACGCACGCACGCACGCCGCACGCATGCACGCACGCACGCACGCACGCACGCACGCACCACGCACGCACACACACACACACACACACACACACACACACACACACACATACACACACACACATACACACACACACATCGGACCACCTCATCCTTACCCGTCGCCAGCCAGCCTTCAATCCCTGCCAGAGGCGAGACACCACTTGACCACGACGGCAGCAGACCGTGGCTGTTCGAGCGCGGCGAGGGCCTCCTTCTCCCAGTGCCGGCTTCGCTTCACGAGACAACCCAGAGCACCTAATCACGCATTTGGACGTCGGAAGCCACGACGGCGAGGACCGCCACTCACCTGCCACCAGGACAGCCGTGGCCGGCAGCAGCACGGCAAGCAGGACCGTATTCATGACGTCGCTCCGAGGGTCCGACGGGTGGCGGCCGCCGCTCGGTACTGCCGGGACGCGGACTGACGAGGCGCCGCCGGCCACTCTGTTTACGTCCGCTGTGGAGGCGGCCGCGCGCTGGCCCTGTCCGTCTCCGCTCGGCGCGCGCTGCGGGCCCCCGCTACGGATGGACCGCGCCACGCCGACGGGGGCCGGCGCTCTTCCAGGCCAGACGCGCGTTCAGCTGGCTGGGAGGTGTGTGCGTGAATAAGGGGGGGGGGGGGGGAGATAACCTCTGGCGTCGGGTATGCTAGCGTCCGTCGTGCTGTTACAGCCCTCAGTCCCGACGTGGACAGCGACACCGCTGAGCGCGCCGTCACACGCTGTGCTGGGCTCGGACAGCTGAGGTTCAGCGGCCGGTGATCCCTCCCTCCGCTGTCACGCGCTGGGCTGGGCCCGGACAGCTGAGGCTCAGCGACTGGTGATCCCTGCCTCCGTCGTCACGCGCTGAGGTTCAGTGACTGGTGATCCCTCCCTCCGCTGTCACGCGCTGAGGTTAAGTGACTGGTGATCCCTGCCTCCGCCGTCACGCGCTGGGCTGGGCCCGGACAGTTGACGCTCAGTGACCGGTGATCCCTGCCTCCGCCGTCACGCGCAAGGTTAAGTGACTGGTGATCCCTGCCTCCGCCGTCACGCGCTGGGCTGGGCCCGGACAGTTGACGCTCAGTGACCGGTGATCCCTGCCTCCGCCGTCACGCGCTGAGGTTAAGTGACTGGTGATCTCCCTCTCCGCCGTCACGCGCTGGGCTGGGCCCGGACAGTTGACGCTCAGTGACCGGTGATCCCTGCCTCCACCATCACCATGCTCCAAAGCGGGATCGACGCCGCGCTATCGACAGGAAGCCATCAATTGTGGCAATCACCAGCCCCCCCCCCCCCCCCTCTCTCACACCGCCCAATAGCAGAACACGCTCCGAACAGCGCGACGACGTCACCGCCCCGGCGGCGCGATTGTTTCCGGGGAGGAGCGCCAGTGTCCGTAATCGCAGCAGACGGGCCCTCCGGAAGCGGCGGCGGATCCACGCTCGTTGAGTGGGGAGAATCGGTCCTCCGATGACGAATCCAGGGTTTATCACTGAGCTGACTGAGATAGACTACTTATAAGGATTACGGCTAACCGAGTCAGTGTTGGTGGCCTGGTGGCAGAACGCTGAGGTCGTCACCAAAATACCCAGGTTCAAAACCCATCAGTTCCGAGGAGAAAGTTCGGGGTGTGTCGCGCGCATGGCTGAAAGCCGAACACTTCACAGCCCAGCTCAGCACTCGATAACATTTGACGGCGGCCAGCAACTTACCTGGCCGAAATGTTGTGTGCACACTGACACATCAGACGAAAACGGTATCTCGAGCAGAGACTTCATCTGACTGGACGCGGCCGGCGTACTCATGGAGACAGTTGTGGTGAGGCCACATATCACATGAAACACAATCCAGCGCTGACGACCTTCAACATTGATGGAATTCTTAACACTTCTAATGATAAGCAACATCGTTTAAGGGGAAGGGGCGGTGTCATGCGGGCAAACACCACGGAGTTTGCATTTCCAAGAATAATAAAACATACATAAAGTCACGGTGTATTTCAACGCCTCCCAGTACCCAGTCACGTCCGATCAAATAGTCATCTGCAGCCAAAAAATCTGAAGACGAGTCCAGAACAGCAGAATTACCCGAACTTTACGCATAATGCAAACCGACGATGCATTCTGAGCCGGAACATTCCACAGTGGCGCACATCCAGTCTCCCGACTAGGCCTCCCCTACGTTACACGATGAGCGGGCTGCACCAATCACAGGGCACATGGGTATTGGTCTACCGCGGACCCCCTCTGGATGCCAGGCCGATGACGCCGGAGCCCCGCTCTGCACCCGACCGACGCCGACGGCGGGCGAACGACGACGTCCGGACGCAGCGCGATCCCAAAGCGTGACAGGACGTGACCCGTCCAGTCTGCCGTGACCCACCCCCAAGTCACGGCAGGCTCTCGGGGCTCGGGGCCATGGCCCGCAGGGACACACGTGGTCCGAGGTCCGGCCGCCCGACCCCGGCCGTGACAAGACCCGTCCCCGCTCACGGTGGCAGACTCCCGAGGCTTGTGGCCACGCTCCAAGCGGCACTCGTGGTCCAATGTCCGCCCAAACCCGACTGTTGACACCATAAAACAGGATTGCGTTCGACTGTTTCCGAGGTCCGAACAACGCAAAATCAAGTGAGCAAAATGCATCCCGCGGAAGTGGGACGTTAAAACCAGGGAGCGCGCGAGGTGACGGGCGGAGCTTGCAGCGCGGCGGGCGCTACGTAAGCGTAGTAACACTGCAACGAGCGCAGCACAATATAACGGCGCCAATACCTAGTTGTGGTCACTGTTGATGCTTCTACGACTAGCTCGAGAGCCCAATTAAAACGGCCTTGGTGGTCACCGCAGTAACACCAAAACGGTGTCGTAATGTTCCAGCTCGTGCACCGGATGAACAACGTCGCAACGGGCCCGGCAACACGCCAGTCGGCAGCTCAGGAACTCAAACAAAGTTCACCTGTTGACTTACACGGACGGGTGAATGGGTGAATAGCCACTAATAAATAAAACCAACAAATCCACTACTGGTTCCTCGGAGAGCGGACCTCCTGCTCCAATCAGAGTCAAATCACATCGGAGGCCTACACGTACCCATTCGACGCGCTCGCTGACGCCTCGAGCGGAGCCCACACCATCACAGGATTCGCACGTCTTCTTTCCTGGGGTCTACGCACCGACCTCTAGCTAACGCCAGCCCGACGAAGCTCTGCACCGTGGTTGCTCCTCCTCGGAGAGTCGGAAACTCTCTGCACTGAGCGCACGGTGGTCCTAACGACGCCGCATCTGCACCGCTGGGGACGACGGCCGTCGAGCCTCAGCCTCAGCTCAACACGCAGTCTACCCGTCAGAACGCCGGGGGACGAGCGTCAGCCCGCGGCGCGTGTCACAGGCACGGCGTCAGCTATAGCGCCTGAGTTATGTGTGACTACTGAGTGGCGGCGCCCGGCAGAGCGCCGACGTCGTTACCAGCGCACCAGCGGCTTCAGCTCGTCGTTGATGCTCAACCGCTTCACCGACTCGTAGCCGAGCACGACCATGAAGGAGAAGGTGATGGAGGAGACGAGACGCGCCGACAGGCCCTTGGTGAAGATGCCCCAGCGCTCCTCGGCCCAGAGTGCCTGCACCGTCTCGGGCAGCGAGCTGACGCGCTGGATCTGTGGCGCCGACGCAGACGGATGTTAGCGGCCGCCGCCGGCGTCCGGGGCTGACGCGGACGGGATACGGGGGGAGGGGGGAGGGGGCATTTGAGGGGCCGCGGCGTAGCACGGTTATCAGCGGAACTGGGGACTCACGTCAGGACAGCCAGCATCCTGTTTCACGGCACAAACACGCAGACGGCTGGATAGCCCTGCCGCCTATGCCCGGCACGCCGGCCTGACCCGTACGCCACCGTGCCAGGCTCTCTCAGCGCGGCGATAAACAGACAGTGGAGCATCGCCGGCGAGTGCGCAACACTAGCACGCCAGCAGGCCCCGGTTCCGTGAACAGACCCGCCCGCCCCCCCCCCCCCCCGCCACGGGCAGGACAGCAAGCGCGAAGCGCCGGCCGGCGTCCCTCCCGAGAACTCCCCCGACCCCGACCACCGAGGCACACTTTGCGGAGGCCCCACACGGCGAAAGAGGTGGCGATGCGGATTTGGAACTACAATCGTAGGTTATATAGCTGGAGCCATACAATTTACAACTGTAGCCCTTGGAGCCGTGCTCCACGGCGCTGAGGGTAGCAGAAATAGGACCGCATTGTTGGCAGTCTAACCGCAATGATTGGCCGCATAGATCGCTGAGCAGGCAACCAAAGATAATATCATTAGATATTTTTGAGTACCCCGATCTCTAAACCGAAAAAAATTCGGAAGAATTTAATCCCACGGATCATTCTGGCGATCTTAGCGCAAACCTACAACATTAGCGTGTTTTGCAAAACCACTAAGCACCTGCCAAAAATACCACCACAGCAGAGCCATATCGGAAATGAAAGTCACGTCAGCGACAGCTTGTCCCGACGGTTGACTCGGCGCGCCAGAGTGGCGCGTCTGACTCGGGACACTGACCTGGTAGCGGGCTCGCACGCAGTCCAGCGGGTTGGTCAGCACTGTGGTGGTGACGCCGCCCAGCGTGGCCGACAAGCTCTGCATCAGCAGTAGCGGACACAGGCTAGGTGGCAGCACCTTCACCAGCTGTTCTGTAGAACATGACATGGTCACCATCATCAGCAGACGCTGGCCAGGCAGCAGCACCTTCACCGGCCGACAAGCACATGAGAGCAATACCAAACACCTCTAGACAGCCATTACGCTGCTAAACATGAGTCTGAAGAACAAACTGATTGTTAGTCATTTTTAGTCAGAGACCACGTTTTAAACTTACTTCGAACATTTTGGATGAATGGATTTCTGGAACCACATATTACACTGCGCGGTGCATGTTGTCGCGTGGGCCCCGACCCCCCTCCACCATTCCACCATCTGATCGTGCAATTTCAAGTCGACGGCGGAATTTTGCGACGAAAGCTGAACATTCCTCATTGCTCCGGCCGGTCCGTCCTGCTCCTAACGCCCTTGACGTTCAGGTGCGGGGCTGCTACCACCGGCCGCAAGCCATCCTAGTCGGGGACCTACAGCAGACGCTTAAAGCGAGTCGAACTCACAACGCCACGAGTGTGTATGCTGAAAGGCGAGCGCTTTAGCCACGTGAGCCACCCGCACGGACCAAAAACCATACACAGGCCATGCCCTTTCCCTGCTCTGTCTTCTACTGCGTATCTTTTATCGTGAGATGAATTACTATAACCAATATTGACAACGTGATCATCAGGGTCAGTATGCACTTTGGCCTTCTTTGTGGAGAAAGGCGACAAGTGCCGCATTACTGGCACCAAAAAAAAAACATGTGTCGCACAAAATGGAAAATATACGCAATGGCTGATAAAATATACCTTGATAAAAGTGGTAGAATGACCACCACAACGCTGAGTTGGGTACATATGTGCAAATGGAGGCGAAGTATCCGCGATAAAAACCACGGACGCCGTCTTGTTTGTACACTTCTTTTATGATCTCCAACGCTATCTGAAAAAGACAACCATCCGTGAAGAATTGCTTCAGCAAGCAATGCGCCACTTATTTCGGCAAGCACCGTTTATCGGCCATCATTTTCATTCATAAATCTCCTCAGTTCATATCTTGAGCCTAATGTGAGTGCTAGCTACGCGCACAGGCATAATTCATATTGTATATGATCTCATATATAATGGCGTAGGATATCGCCCAGGAGGGGGCTAAAATTATGCCATTCAGGGTCAACTGACGCCAAGCGTGTAACATCCCTGGATGGACACCAACACACATGTGTCGTGTCCGTCCATCTGCCGGCGCGGCGTCACCCGTCCGCGGCCGAGTACGCACCCTCCGCCGCGGGATGCTCTCGTACTGGATGCGCAGCGGGTTGAGACGACGCGTGCCCTTGCCGGGCCGCAGCTCCACCTGGCCCAGCACCATCAGGTGCTGACTGATGACGTCAAACGGCACGATGATGGTCTGGCCGACCAGCGACGCGCCGCCGCCGCCTGCCAGCGCCCGCACGCGGCTGTCCTGGCGACATGGCAACACGGCGTCAGCGGTACCGTAATACGGCTGAACTGGCGACACGGCAACACGGCGTCAACAGCACCATGACACGGCTGGACTGGCGCCACGGCAACAGGGCGTCAACAGCACCATGACACGGCTGGACTGGCGCCACGGCAACAGGGCGTCAACAGCACCATGACACGGCTGACCGGCGACAAAGCAGCACGGCGTCAACGGCACCATGACACAACTGGACTGGCGACACGGCAACACGGCGTCAACAGCACCATAACACGGCTGGACTGGCGCCACGGCAACACGGCGTCAACAGCACCATAACACGGCTGGACTGGCGACAAAGCAGCACGGCGTCAACAGCACCGTGACACGGTAGGACTGGCGACAAGGCAACACAGCGTCAATACCACTGTAACACGGCCGGACTGGCAAGACATCATCACAACGCCTAACGGTCCCGACATCGTGGAACAGTAAGCTTTTATGTTAGGGTCAAAAATCAGTGTGAACAAATTTTAAGACGAAACATGCCCTTGCCAGTCCACCACCTCACCGTGTTTCTGAATACCACAGCTGAGCCGCGGATTAAATCATAAGCCCCGAGAGAGATGTACGGTCCGCCGCCATGCCACCCCACGCGCGCCCGCACCCCAACCCAAACAGCCCGCACACGAGCGTCCTCGTAACGCACATCTGTACATAACTGCGCCCCGCCACCTGTGTTGACCGAACTCTCAGACGCGTCGCGCGCCGGCCCACCTGGACGCCGCAGTTCTGCAGCACGTGCCGCACGGTCTCGTACGTGGTGATGTACGCAACGCCCGACACCAGCTGGAAGGCGCTGACCCAGAAGCCGCGGTACAGCCCGGCGAAGCCCTCGTTGGCGAATGTCTTGCGGAAGGCGTCGAACGTGCCGTTGTAGACGCTGTGGTGGCGCTGAACCTGACGGCCGTAGCGCGGCAGTAGCAGCGAGGCGGCGGAGGGATGGCGGGGCGGCGACGAGGCTTGTCACTGGCTTCGGCTGTGACGCCGTCGTTTCACCACACGACATAACGAACATAACAATGGGTGCATATGTATTGTAGTAATGCTGTAAATATCCTAGGTCACTAAATACGCAGCAAAATGTAAGAAATAGTCCGCAAAATGAAGGCACTCTGTAAACCATGTTTGGTTTCAGATAAAAAAACTTGTGACGCACACACTTCATAAGAAAATCAACACCACCATCATCAGATACATCATCGTAGCATTTTTTCTTACACGCTATCAGCAGACAAAAATGTTATGCATTAGTTGGCTGTGAGAGCTCATATTTCCCAGCTGGTGTCATGAAGCCAGATCCCGCTCCCAACACATGTTAAGTGGCGCAAAAAAATCCAAGATACCGCTGGCGTAGTGATAAGCGGCCCGTCCAAGAAAAACGGGACGTACTGAGTTCGACTTCCCGCACTACCCGACTTTCCCAGGGGGTGAGAGGCGGGCGGCGCCAAGTAGCCTCAGCTGAGTGCATCGTGAAGCACCAATGACGACGAATAGGATAGACACGATGACACGACTTGATCGGTCCTGTTTCCCGCAAGGGCTTCCCGTTTACCTGCATCCACTGCTCGAGGCAATGACCCCACAGGAACAGGACCGCCTGCGGATAACTTATCACGAGACGTCACCAGGAGCCCGTCCATTGGTCCCCAGCACACCACGCTCAACGCCGGACGTGCCGCGGAACCCGCTCACCTGCAGACGGGTTTTAATGACAGTGAAGGGGTACAGCATACAGCGGATGCTGAACGAGCTGGCGATCGACAGAGGGATGAACTTCCGCTTGTCCAGCATCTCCCACTCGATGGTCCTGATGTAGGGCTGCGTCTCCATGGACGACATCGGGAGTTACTGAAAACCACCAGACGTCACCAGAGATGACGGCGTGCCCTCACAGATCCGAGCGCGCTAACTCAGAACAGGACAACGGCCAGCAGCGGCGAGCAGGGTAGCAACATACACCATGCATACTCATGCACATATAAAATTCAGATTGGTAGCTCTTACAGATTCTTTTTAAATTGGCGTCAAGCTAGAGCCTGTTCCGGCCAACCTTTTATTCCCCCACAATTTACTCAAAAAATATCCGGCTGCTACTCTCAGTTCCCTTGTCCGGGGAGGGAAAAACATATTGCGTCCCAACTTCTTCGCACCACACTTCTATATGTTTGGTTTTTCCGGGCGTCTGCTCCGACCAGATGGCCGCGCCGCTCATACGGCTCAGCCGCTCTGGGGCTGGTGGCTCGCCGCTCATACGGCTCAGTCGCTCTGAAGCTGGTGGCTCGCCGCTCATACGGCTCAGCCGCTCTGGAGCTGGTGGCTCGCCGCTCATACGGCTCAGCCGCTCTGGAGCTGGTGGCTCAGCCGCTCTGGAGCTGGTGGCTCAGCCGCTCTGGAGCTGGTGGCTCAGCCGCTCTGGAGCTGGTGGCTTAGCCGCTCTGGAGCTGGTGGCTCAGCTGCTCTGGAGCCGGTGGCTCAGCCGTTCTGGAGCTGGTGGCCGCGCCGCTCATACGGCTCAGCCGCTCTGGAGCTGGTGGCTCGCCGCCGTGAGCGTCCAGCTCCTGAGCCCGGAGCCGGGGCGGCGGCGGCCCGGCCGGCGGGCGCCACTCGATGCGTCTGAGCCCTCGCACGGTCAGCGACATGGGTCACCGACGAGGTTGGCACGCCTCACGCAAATACGGCGATAAGACCCAGGCGCGGGTGACCTTCGAAGACCACACTTCGCCTCCGATGGCCTTGTGATAAACGGAAGGGCCATGGCCAGTAGCGGCGCAACCTGACCAGACGACCAAAGTGGGGAGGCGAAACAAATCCAGTGGCTCGTCCTGTGCCCGTGACCTACTCATCACAATATGAACAATTCACCAATGAACTAATGAGTCAGCCATTATTTTGGTTAACCATTGTGTTTTCATAACATATCTTATTTCAGTCATGTGGATAAATTGTACAATTTCATATTCCTGCCCAATTTTGAGACAGTGTTCCTATTGCTGGAACTACAAAATTATGTCCACGTATATACATACATATATATATATATATATATATATATATATATATATATATATATATATATATAGATGCAGATTTTGAATGAGCATGAGAGCAGCACATGCCACTTCCAGAAGATAGTCTCATTACCTCGTTATGCTAGATATGGCTGAATGTTTCACACATAATCAAAAGGTTACTCTCCACAATTGGTTGGGCATCAGCCAAAACTGCTGACCTAGCCCACCCCAAAACCTGATTTTTCCACAGACTTTGGTTACTTAATGCTGCATCCTCAATGACATAATCAAATTTAAAACAAATTTTGTAGCTTCAAAATTGCTTTCCTGCAGAGGAATGACTTTCCATGTGGAGTTAATGTAAGCTGCCTTTTGTGAAAAGCTTAAAATTCAGTTAAGATTTCAGAAAAGCATTCAAGGAAACCTTAGTAAGGGATCACATAAGTAAGGCATCATTTCCAAACTAACCTGACATCAGAGCAGTAAAGCATAAGGATAGAATGACAATCATTTCACTTGAACTCAGTTTCAAATTTTAATTTTTAATCAGATTCAAATGATAAATTTGGGACTTTGCTGGTGAATCATGGTCACTCAGCTGCCCACACATCCAGAAGAAGATGCCTCAAAGCCTGGTAGCTTGTGATCATCCCAAATGTCATACCAGATATTAAGCTCTGAAGTAAATAACTGCAAATTTGTATTTTGTATCAATTACTGCAATCTGTTCAGATCATAACCCCGGAAACACAAATGCCTAAGAGCCAGCTACTTATTTCAGATCTTATCTTGGCATTGACAAGATAGCAGGTCACAAGGCCTGTAAGTTCTGATCTAATTGATCCCAATATCAATACAGATTACTTTCTAAATTCAGAAGGGAGATCTTCCTTCCCTTCAGAACCCCTCAATGCTGGACCTAACCTGGGTGACAGAAAGTCAAGCCTATCGACATTGGAGGGTGACTGTCAGTCATTTACTCCAGTCACTGTGTTGGTTTTGAGACCACAGTGGATGTGGACTTAAATGTGGATGTGATGTTTTCAGTGAATGAATTACGGTTCAGAAATACAGTGGATGGATGTTTTCCCCAGTGGATGTTTTATGGTGCACTGACTACATTAGCCACACTGCAACTATGACAATATATTTACCTAATTAGTGAAGATGAAATAAAGCCTGGTGAAGATTAAAAGGTAAGGATTCATGAGCAACTTTTGTTAAACATCCTCTGTCTAATGATTACTATCACAGCATCCACCAGATCTCTCAACCCATAATCTGATTCCCTGGGCTTGTGAAATTGGCCTGGATTGTTTGGATGCTGATGAGTGATTTTTGTTAAGGGACATATGTATATAGCCACATACCCTTGGTCTGAGCACCAGCAACTGCAGAGGCCATGGCACAACCACAGGTTGAACGAGTGACCTTTCCTGCCCCATGTGGGAGCTGAGTGCATTAACCACTTGGCATCTGGCCTGATGAGGAATGACAAATGAGATTTGTACATGGCAGATACACTTGATTCCCTATCACTAACTGCATAGCTAAATCCACCTGTTATAAACAAATGAATGGCATTTGCTTAATATGTACCAAACTCATGTGAGGCCAAAATTTACTGACTTGTTAAGTGTTTTGCTTGAAAAGATTTTGAGAACATTTAGATCTGAAATACTTTCAAAAATCATTATTCTTTGAACCATCAACTCTCCAAGATCTGAAATCAGTGGTGACCATGTAACAAACTCCTGAGAGTTTGAATTCAAGGTGTGCACATACTGAAAATATTGCCAAAATGTTTCCAGATATGGTGAAACATACATTTTCAACAACCCGGGCAGAACATATACAAACACACAAATCATTTTGGCATGGTACAGTGTATAGAGATTCATGGTACACACAAAAACATGACTATTTATATCTCAAATCCAAATACCAACTAGCTACTTTGTGACAGTGGGGTATACAAACATCCTCACAGAAGTGAGAAGAGCATGGGTGCCCTCTGAAACATATTCATGATCATTACTTTTAGGCTTGGCAACTGGTCAATTCACTGTGTTGGAGGCAACATTGTTTGCTGAACAACTGTGCCTTACCAACAATGTTGCATTAAAACAGCCAATGTCAATCAGAACTTACGCATGTTTTAGCAAGCATTTCCCGATGAAGGTACGCTAAAACATGTAAATGTTAATCAGGCTTTGCAAACCATGCTGGGGAATCGCGGCACTGCCTTTTCCTGGCAAACATTAGCATACACACAAATAGCAATACCATGTTGAGCCACCAGGAGCGCAACCAGAAAAAAACGCCCTCCAGTATGGTGACGTTCAGTACCTTAAACACCCAGCCCCGTTCCAAGAACAGATACTGATATCAGTCGATGTTCGGTCTCCAATCGGTCTATAAGACCTACACGGTCCTGCAATGTCCACACACACGGAAATTCGCTTTAAGGCAGGATGAAAGTTATATGTCACTCCCTCGCTGCATTTGCCTAACAACTATTAAAGGCTGGGTCTAAAAAACCGGTATATGACGCAGCCACGCCAGTTTTCCAAAATGGCTCGTCCGATCGCCTTGCAATCTTCATCGATCGATTTCGTGCAATGAGGTGAGTTATCGAGATCTGACCTGAGGTCAGACACCTCGAAAACGCGAAAGGAAAATTATGCATGCAAACGCAGACAGCTCAGATCTCAGAACCTACTGGACTGATCACTATGAAGCCTTCACCATTGGATGCCCCATACCTGATCCCGTTCGGCGGTTCCAAATTTGATGACCCGAGGTCAGGTTAAAAGTCGTAAAATTTCACGAAGTACAAAGTTCTTGCTTGCAGACAACTTAGAGCTCAGAACCTACCGAACCGGTCTCAGGTAAACATTCACCATTGGATACCCCATACCTAATTCTCTCTTGCAGTTCCAAATTTGATGACCCTAGGTCCGGTCAAAAGTGGTCAAATTTCACAAAGTTTGAAATTCTTGCTTGAAAATAACTTATAGATAAGAATCTACCACACCGATAGGTGCCAAACCTTACTATTCAGCATGCCATCTACCCTGGATTGATAATTCTTTGTTGAAGCTGCAAGAATGGTGACATTTATCGTTATGTCCTTTACTTTATGCCTGTTCTCAAGAAAAAGTGCAACTTAGTTAGGCCAGCCTTAGGAGGTTAAATTTCTCCTCAACGGAGGTGCTGTGCTGAAAATCATGCGCTGAACTGTGCATGGTATCGCCACGATCAACACCGCCGCATCAAAAATTTAGATCCACCTTGTAAGGCCGCCGACCTATGGTAAGTCAAAGTTAGGCCATGGTGTCAGCGAAGTCAATTTGTAGGAAATCGTTCAATCTGATGCAACGACAGAGTGTTATACTAAGCCATACATCTCTGAGATGCTTTCTCAGGCAACACAACAACTGAATGAGCAAATGACGTTGACTTAAGTTCAGGTTTGAAGGTCAGTCCAAGGTCAAAACCAATCTGTTTTATTACTCTAGGGCTTGCTGTATGGAATAGTTTTGGTGCTCATTTCGAATTTTGATAGCAGGAACCGCATTATACATCTTCCACGGACTTTTTAGAGGTCGGAATAGGTCATTGACTTATAGTGACCCGAGGTCAACATTTTGTTTTGGAAACATGCTGCCTAGTGTTATCTTTGTCGCTTATTCAAATGCAAAACTCAGAGCGGTCTTCTATGATTTTGGTCACCATGACCTTCGTAACGTCAAACAACGTCACTGATCTTAAATGAGCATGTGACCTTTTGCTCAGACACAGTTATCTAGGTTCTGAGGGTACTTTGGGGACCAACCTAAAATTTGATCTTTTTGACCTTATTTAACCCGAAGGTCATGACCTAGGAAGCTCAAACTCTGACCTAAGGGAGTTCACGTACATGCCAACGCACCCTGTGAATTTGGCGTCCCTAGCTTTGTTAGTTCCCAAGATCTCGGCGTGTCAAATTGACCGCCGCCCCCACCCTACCCAGCCGAAGGGTATCTAGCCACCCACCCGGACGTGTGTAATTGCATAGCAAGTGGTGGTAGGAATTTTGCAAGAATCAGTAACTCACAAATGCTGCTGTGATACAAATAGGCTAGACAGTATGGGATAACGTACGGCTTTTTAGGTTAGGCTTAGTTAAGTCACTTTCATGGAAATAAGCCTTGGTGTTTTTGCAAGAAGCAGTGGCATGATCAGTGCCAACTTGAAATGTAAGTATTTGCTTGCTGTAGCATCTCTCACTGACTTATGAGGTCTAGTTTTTGTAACTTGAATTTTTCACTCCTGTGCAGTCTTTTTGTGGTGAAATTGAGTAATTTCTCTCTCACCCTGGTTCAAAAGCGATTCTAGCTCACTGCATCCAACTGTCAGCCAGCTTTTGTTCATAGGTGTAAGTTGCGGACTGTAAGATACGGATTCCATTCGTTAGCACATAAATTACTTTTTCTCGAA